CAACACGTGCTTTGTCGCCAATTGACTGACTGTATTGGTATTTCATGTTAGCATACAATGATTTACATCGTCCACTCTATAACTATTTTGCACATAAATGTATCTAAACCATCAATTTAAAATGTATAGACATGTAATTGTTTAAAAGTTTTCGATGTGAAATCCTAGTACAATATATAATTGCTTGTTTTATCATATGATATATTTACTTATATATATTTGTTTATTCACCAATCAAGGGCCCTCAGGGGGCATGAACAAATTATTACAATATGATTACACTGATTACAATTGAATATAATAGATGTATAATTAATATGACTTAGTAATTAGGTTTGACATGGAGAAGCGCAATACCACAAGTTGTATCATCATGAAAATGTAGGATTTGTTACATATTCATAGTATAGTCTCACACTGGATCAAAAGTATAGAAAACAACAGGATGATAAAAAGAAATAATAATAAATATTAAATAAATAAAAATTGAACCTTCTTGTAATAATGGCAGTACGATATTATATAGTGCATCTTGAATACAGAGCTAGGGCTTATTATGGCACGCCGATTGGTTCAAAATTATTTTCTACACGACCTTAAACAAAAATTACACGAAAGTAAAAACTTACACAAAGTGAGGAAAGTATACACAAAGTTATTGAAATTTACACAAACTACAGAAAAACTTACAATCAACAAAATATTTACACGATATAGTGAGAAAATTACAAAACATAAAAACGAATACTGCACGAGTGAGAATACAACATCGACATAATATACGACGCATCCTCATTGCGCACATTTCATTAATACATTAGAGAACAACTCAGTTGGCTTGGATGCTTGAAATAAACCTATAAATTTATCCTAAAGGATGAGTAACGTGTTAGTAATATTTATTTAATCTTTTTAAAAAGGATTCAGTCTTTTAGAATTCAAACTCTCAAGAATATGTACAATGTGTTTTATGCATGTATAAATTTACACACAATCTTAAGTATGGAATATGAACACCCCCTATTAAAAACATTCTACACATGTATTTTTAAATAACGTAAAAGGGATTTTATTACCTGTGTGTTTAATTTTTAGATTTTTAAATTGATTCCTCTATCATTGTCTATATAGCAATTTCTTTTGAAAGTGTAAAACGTTGATATGGTAAAGGTTTCATAAAATTAATAAAAACAGCATGTGATGTAATAAGGGCAGTTAACAACCAATCAAATCTTAGCTCCTTTCACCACCCACTGTGTGTACGGACGGTAATAATTAACAGATGTTTTTTTTTCATATAGAGAGATCCCTGCTGGTGAAGGAATGAAAGACACCTGTACGCTAATGATTTATAGTTATTTAGAACATCAATAATACCTTTTGATTAAGGATAAGCAATTCATACAGAGATTTTGAAGCATTGTTGCAATCATCTGGGTTGTGGAATTTGACAGAAAACTTTTTGGAAATAAACAGTAAAAAATAAAAATAAGGCAAATAATTGCGCAACTTTAAATTTTATATTAAAACGATCGAATATAATTATTAATTTTTTTTATATTGTATGTGACAAAGTAGAACATTAGTCTTTAATTTTGAACAATGTGTAGTGATTTCATAAATATCCATGTAAATGTAGAAATTTGTATGTAAATTGTAAAATCGTTTTAGTTATGTGAATTTAATATACTGGGTATATAATGTTTTTTATCCATTTGCAATGTAAAATGTATATAAAGGAGTTAAAACAATTTTAAATTATGATATACAGACACATATAATATCGGTATAGCATCACTTTTAATATGGCTGCGGTGTTTTTTTTGACAAATTACAAAAGTGGAATTGCATGACAAGCGAGCAAAAACGGTGCCGGGGGGGGGTGTCCAAACTGAAAATCCTATTTCGTTGAGGTACACCAAGGCGATTTCATCATTTTAAATTACATATATTGAATTTGAATTACAAATGAAAGGGGATGAGGCTAAATTTCTGTATCCCAAAAAAAGGTTATGCTTTTACGAAAAGAAAACTGCAAATATTCAATCCTCCGCAACGAGAAATCAAGTTCTTGACACGAATTTCACACAGAATTATATTTTTAAAAATATCACACCTATTGCAATTAGCCTTTAAAAAAATAACGATAAATAGTGTAATTTACCGTCCATATCCTGGAATTTGCAGATGACTGCATCCACATTTGAAAATTGAAGAGTTAGGGGGTCCCTGATATAGCTTTTTCTGTTGAAAAGCTCTCAAATATGAAAAAAGTAGATCAACGGGTATCTTTTTATTGATTTTCCGATTAACATTCATTTTTCCTTATAACTTCGAATTTTTCCTGTTAATATCCATAGGTTTTCTTGTGATATTTATTACAAAAAATCCGTTTAAATTTACAACGTTTGGAAGTGCTAAATTATTAAAATTTTATGAACACACACACGTAAAAGAATTTGTTTTCTTAAATATATTGGCAAAAATTGTGCTTTATTTGGAGATGATTTATTTGCATTTTTCACCTGATAAAAACAAGTTTTCTATTCTTTTCATTTAATCAAAGGCTGCCACATCCTTCCCATTTTATTTATGACATTGTATGTAGAGATTTTAATTCACATATGTTTTAAAACTCTTGGTGTGTCTATAATGGCCCCGCCCTCCCCCGGGGGTCATGAAACTTAAATTTAAATTTACACTACCCCAGAATGCTTCCACATAAGCTTCATGTGTTTTTCCATAGCCAGTGGTTCTTGAGAGGAAGTTTTGTTTTTCATTTGGATATATTTAATATATAAAACAAAAGCGCATGTACATAGAGTATATTAGTATATTCTCCGTTTATCTGGTCCTTTTTATTAAAAATGAAAACATTTATAAAGTAATCGCCATTGCGAATGAGGGCAACGCTTACAGAAATATCTTGTTTTTATTTCGAAGTTTATAACAAAATATATATTTCTATGGAAAAAATCATTCCAAAAAGTAGGCTACAGATATCCAACCAAAATTGATATCGGATATTTTATAAGTTTGGATACATATGTAAATAGAAATAAAATATTTATATGTTTGACATTAAAAATACGTTGTGTACATCTGGCCTCACTTTTTAAATTTAAAAATGTACACATTTGTATATATCCATGCAACTGAATATTTAATTTCTTATTCCCCGAAATGGGGAAAAAATCTCCTCAAATGATTTTTTTAAATCAAGATGCTTGTCAGCCGTACTGTAGTTCATCGTTAGGTACTTTTAGTTCGGAGAAGAAGATCATATATACTCAATGCTACTTTTTTTTAAACCCCGCATTGTAGCACAAACGTTCCGATTCATTTTAACAATTTTTGTTCCCCATCATATAATACATCCTTTGTACTCAAGTTTGGTCAATATAAGAAATTCATAGTATTTTCAAAAAGCTTTTAAATAGTTTCGCATAGATCAGATGGAAACACTTCATTCGAAATCGGATTGTAAAAAAGCAACTTCCATTCTCGATAACATTCAGCTTAGCATACATGAAGAGATAAAGAGTACAGAAAACCAAGAACACTGTGAATATTATATGTGCATAGTATGATATGCGCAGCTGTATGCGCAGTGAAATTGTTTGTGTAATTTTTAGTTTCCTCTGCTCGTGCAATTTTCGATTTTTGTTTGTGCATATTAAACCCTTTAATCGATTAAAAAAATTCGGATTCATGTATTTTTCGTTATGTTTGTGTAAAAATCTTTTAAACTATGCGCAATTTTTACCGATACGTGCATTTTTATATTACTCTGTATATTTTTCTTTTTATAAAATCGTGATCGTTGTAGAAAATATTTTGATTACTTATTTCACAACTTGATATCGTAGAGATCAGAATTTTGCACTACACCCCAATATACTTTAACGACATACTATTATATATATTTATAAAACATTAAAGAAATTTGACAAAAATTGTATGCTTCTTTGTTATTTCCCAAGCAGGTTGGGGTCAATACTTCCACACGCCATGGTACAGTTTTGGAACTCTTCGTGGCATTCATGTCCACAGTGGTGATGGGAGTCCACGTCAACTGATCAATACGTTGTAGTGGCAGTGTAATTCGTGGAAGGATCCTTGATGTCGGACATTACCGTGGCACAGGGTCACACAGCAGTCCCCAAATTTGTTCCCACACCCCGCTCAACACTTGACCACTCCGCCCTCACAGTACAGCATTAGCAGCATAGCGCAAATGACACTCAAAATAAGACAGCGCATCTGGAAATCAAGAAATACAAAGAATGTTCTCTATAGGCTTTTTTTTTCTTTTTTTTGCTTTTTAGCCACATTGTAATCTATATGGTGGTGTTCTGAAGCAAAGCTAGGTTCCTTCCCGGGGAATAGTAAACCTTACTTGGATTGTTCTAAATGGTTGGGCACAAGTTCTCAAAACTGAATGAGCCCTCTCCCTTATTTATAGCTTCTTCAGCCGCATCATTCCTTAAAATAATCCCTCCCCCCGCGGAAATTTTGCAATAGATAAGATTTAAAGGAAAAGAAAAATTTACTTATTCTAATCAAATTACAGAGCTTCTCATATAGGGTAGATGTATATTTTTAAATGTTAAAATTGATCAAAAATTGAAATACATGTATCACCAAGAAACTGTTGATTATACTTAAAGCAGATGGTCTGTTTAAAGCGAAAAACTATTTCATAAACATACCATTGTTTGCTAGCAAATGTATTGATAATCAGCCAATCCTGACCTGAATACAGAATTGTCAGAAAGATAACTGACTGTATTTCAACATATGTCTGTGATTGTATCGGTAGATAATACATTTTTTTTTTTTGGGAAAATCTGCATTTTTTTTTTTTTTTACCTGTTTGATCCAACCAGAATGAAAAGGGGGAGGGTGTACAAGAAAGAGAGAGACTGGTATTGAAATAAACACAGATGTAGTTGTGATGATAATTTGTGAAGTCAACGGCAAAACAAATAAAAATCATAAAGGTGTAATAATTTTGATTTATTGAGAATTAAAACAACAAATATTTCTCAAAACAAAGACATGAACACATGATTCTTAAAGAAGTATAAGTAAAGAAATAAAAGCAATTAATAAAGTTACATCAACAAAAAGCCGAAAAAGTAGCGATATGTGCAAAAGGGTCAACAGCAAAACACTTGCAGATTTTGTGATTTAGTTCACATCAGACAAAATAAACACATACACTGACCTGCTACACTATAGTTCACAATCGAAATTAATTAATTTGCAAATTAAGAGGCTGATGACATAAATAAAATTCAGTAGTTTTGTCAAGAATTAGTCCCCCAAACTGAATTTGCTCTTGTTCATAAATACAAGTAATTTATTTGGTAGTTTACCCTAGGAACTTGAGGTACTTGTGTTATGATTTGATAAATTGATATGAATTTTAATTTAAATGGTCTTATAAAAGATTTTTCACTCATTACCTCTACTAGATGAAATCAAGAAATTCTTGCATGATTGTGTTTACAACACTAAATTCTAAATATCTAATCAACATAAAATATAAAATGGTCAACTAGATAAACTACAATGTTGAGAAACTCCAAAAGATTTTTCTTATAAAAGAGTAAATTTAATGTACAAATTGTTCCAATGCATTTCAAAATTGAGGATGTTTTCTTGAAAACTGTTTGAAATTGATATAAGAAAATAAACCAGGGTAAAGATAGAAAAACAGGCATAATCATATGTCCATCTCTGATTTACACAAACAGACTATATAAATACAACATTCAAATGTGTATAACATGCATATTATGTCAATCATTAAATAGTGTTACAATTTTTTCTGAGTAAAAAAAAAATACAAGTAAATTATAAAAATATTAGTATTTGGTATTTGGAACATTATGATGAAATAATGCTTTTAAAATTGACTGCACATGGTGCAATAAACAAAGGTCAATAAAGAACAAAATGTAAAAGTTTGCTATTATTAAATTATTGAATCAGATCTTGTTTGCTATTATATCCATTTAATCCTCAGACATTTATTCTGCTGTACTGTGGCTCGATGTAAATTTTTATGACTATTATGACAGAAATATTAAAACAAGGTAAACTCCCTGTTGGTAAGGCTCATCTCATTCACAAATCTGAAATTCAAAAAATTACACCATAAGATCAGTGATATGCAGCAAAAATATTCTATCTTCAACTATCCATGAATTTGTTAAAGGAGAAAATGCTGTGGTCAGTGGACCAGAGCAGGGTTTGAAACTTGACCCCTTGAACTCTAGATGGACCTTATCTATCCAATGAGAAAAACAAACCTACATGCATGCAAGTTACCAATTCATTTTCATAATAGAGTAATTCATGATCCCCCCCCCACCAAAAAATGATTCTGATTTCTTTAAATCTATAGAATTTTTTACCCCCCCCTCCCTCCCAAATGATTTATACATGTACCTAGTCATTTCACTGTTGACATGAACGTGGCGGGGAACGTATGTCCAGGGCTGGTTTTGTTTCAATGGTGCCTCCTTTGTCCACCAGCCTACCTCTCTAGATGTGTGAAGGGGGAATTGGTAAATCTCAAAGGGCTCTGTCAAAAATAAAAACATTATTTCCAAATGAAATTATTGTGCTGTATAAGATACTAAGATACAAATTGTAACAAGCTGGATGAACTCATATATCCTAAATATTTAGCACAAGCACTTGATGCTATAAGGTATGGGGTTCATTTTTTAAAAGAAAAACATTATTACCATTTGCCTGTGATATTCAGTATCAGCTTATATTAATATGATACATGTAGTGTATTTAAATTACTGTGAAATGCATTTATCATGTTTATTAATAAGTTTAGTCTAGACAAGTGTTCTCTGAATTAAAGTGTATATATTTGTTTAACTATTGTGCATGGTGCTCTAGCACCAAAATCCAATATTCCAGACTGGCATGATCTGCAATTACAGACTTATTGGTCTCTATTTCAAAAATTCTATTACCTACATGTATTAAGTACAACCAATTCTGTCTTTTAATTAAAAATATTTGGTATCTAGTGATCAATTGGCCTGGCAGAGAATAAATACTCAATTATAAGGTAATAAAACTTGTCAGTTATTTAAATAAAGTCTGATCAGTCAACAGGTGTCAGGAAAAATTATCTAGTACATGTATATTGATTGATCAGACATTTTATATTGCAGTATAATCTACTTTTAAATAGTCTTTTCATGGGCAAATAGCTTTATAGGGTTCGATCAGAGAGAAAGATAATAATGTCACATTTCACAAATACATGTGTTTAAAAAAAGAAAAAAAAGGAATATGGATTTATCGTTTAGAATTAACTAACTGTATAGTGAATTTTTACTAAGTTTTCTTGCAATCTTAAAGTAATGCTTTATTAATCACTGAATGATTTTATATCTTATATGCCCAATTGCCCATGCATCCTAACAATGTCATGGGGTTCTTGCCATGGAACAAGTTGATACAGGTCCTTTGACATTGTGTGGAAGATGCATGTCTTATGTTATATTTACCAGTTAGAATTAGAATGTAACTGTGACTCGGGACAAGCCCTCACCACAATCAACACCCCCTTCAATTGCAAGCTCCTGATATTCTTAAATTCATAGGGTTATACAATTTATGCATTGTACATGCTACTTATGCTAGACTGTATGTTTTAATTGCAATGCATGTCATGTGCAAATACAGCTCTACTTGCACCATACTATACACTGTACCATAGTGTATGTAAGTATTTTGCAAAGCTTTAAAATAAGTAACATATAGAAAAACCCAAACCTTTCGGATTCCTGATATGCTTTGTCCTCATCCTTGTGTATTCCCCATATGAACCTTGTGGTCCAGGTCCATAACCGGACACCTGATCAATGGGAACAATAGATCGTCTGGGGGGATTTTTTTCCTTCAAGGGAGGAAGGGCTACAAATCCAATTTGGGTTTTTGAGCGAATAGGATCCATTTTGGCTGGGATCGTTCCTTCACGGATTGTATTCTGATAACCCAATTGGGTTATGCCAAAGAATGCCATATCTCTTGTCTTAAAATTGCAAGGTTTAGGTTTCTGATTAGCGGTGTGCACTTGAAGTTGCTATGAAGTTTGTTTATATCCTGTATAGAAGATTAATGTATTGAAATTCTCCAAAACGAATAAATCAAACAAAGTACAATACTTTCTTTTACTTGATAAATCTTTCTAAATGTTTTTGATTAAAACAATAGATAAATTTTTATTTCTATAAAATTCAGTTTTGAAGTAACAAAAATACATTTTTCGTAATAAATTCGGGATTTCGTTTCGCATAAAAAGAATTCCGATATGACGATTAACTGTAATGGTAAACTTCCGGTTAGTAATTCCATTCTCGTACATTCGATGAAAATTCCTCTTTGATATCCAACATCATCGGCGGTTTAAGGGAGTAGAATTAGTCATGAGCGGGTCGTTAGCGTTTGACGAATATGGGAGACCTTTTATCATCATCAGAGACCAAGAAAGGAAGTCACGATTGACAGGAATCGAGGCCCACAAAGTAAGGAATGCAGCATGACTTTTTGTTTACAAACTCATTTCACTACATAACATCGAGTAAAACATATATTACGACAAATGTTTGATTTAATTTGAAACAACATTGCATAAAACATGAACACCTTAACGTAAATTTGTACAGTTAGTGTAAAATTTAGTATTTGAGTCCTGAAAGTTAAAGTAAGTTTGATCATGTTGAAACAAGTTTAACATTCTACATTTAAAACTAAGCATTGTACATTAAAATAACTGTCTTTGCAAAGTCAGAACTAATGAAATTACATTTACTTTCCTGATGACATGAAAAAGTAAATTTTATTTGCAAGCTAGTGTGATTTGACATAAGTTGTTTTCTCTCAGTATATCAAATTATCATCCTGTTCACAGTCCCACATTATGGCAGCCAAGTCCGTTGCAGGAGTCTTGAGAACTTCCCTTGGACCTAAAGGCTTGGACAAGCTGTTGGTCAGTCCCGATGGTGATATCACAGTGACTAATGATGGTGCTACCATTCTAAAACAGATGGATGTTCAGCATCAAATTGCCAAGCTGATGGTCCAACTGTCACAATCACAAGATGATGAAATTGGAGATGGAACTACCGGGGTAGTAGGTAAAGAGACAACAAGACTATTATACGAATAAGTTTAATGCAAAATGAAATTGTTGATTAGGGCTGTCATGGGTACCCAAAATGACCTGGAACTGTGGAACAATTTATTCGGGTTGGGTTCTATTATGCCAGAATCCACTTCAGTTCCGATTTGTACAATAAAGCATAATAATGGCGTCTAAAACAAAAGGTTTGTTAGTGCATTAATGTGATTTGAATTATTTGGTTCAATTATTTTTCTACAAAGGAAACTACTATAAACTAGTCATTTTGTAGCCGTTTCTTGGATTAAATTTTTTTTTTAAAATTGTTGAATATAATTCAAATCATGAGTTTTTATTCAATTATATACCCGAACCGGAAAAAAATTGAAACTGAACTTCAAAAATTTAGAACCGACCCAAATTACATTATGGAACCGTGACAGCCCTATTGTTGATCATACACCCAATATTTTCTTACGTTTTATATGTTTTATGTTGGTGAGATTTAACCATCATATACAACTAATGAGGTTAAAAAAGGAGTTGTCAATCCTGATTTCATCCTGATACCGCCGAAAGCAACTATTTCATATTATTGTGCAACAATCTTAAAATATATGTAACAAATTAGTTATATTATTATTTTCATTTTATAGTTTTGGCTGGAGCCCTTCTAGAACAAGCAGAAAAGCTTCTAGATAGAGGAGTTCATCCAATTCGTGTTGCTGATGGATACGAAATGGCTGCTAAAGTAGCTTGTGAACACCTAGAAAAAGTCAGTGAAGAATTCACAGTTAGTCCTAAAGATAAAGAAGATCTGGTCCGTTTAGCAATGACTACCCTAGGTTCAAAAATGTAGGCATCAATGTGTGATATCATTGTTTTTTGGAGCAAAACTTCATATATGCTTAAAAGTTTAATTAACAGAATTATAAGAGCATTCATAATAACAAAATTTGTCTTGGATTTCAGAGTGAACAGATGTCATAGACAAATGGCAGAAATAGCTGTAGATGCTATCATGTCAGTAGCTGACTTTGAGAGGAAAGATGTAGACTTTGAGCTTATTAAAGTTGAGGGGAAAGTTGGAGGGAAAATGGAGGATACCATGCTCATCAAGGGGGTTATTGTAGACAAAGATATGAGTCATCCACAGATGCCTAAAGTAAGTGGTTATTCTTCTAGTGAGAAAATGAAAAATCTATGTTTTATAAATGTGTAATTGTTAAGCATTAAAAAAAATGGTCAATTAATCCAATTGAAAACTCACTTTGAGTATAATCATGTTGCCTTAAAAAATTATATTGATTTTTGCTTTGCTATTAAAAATGTTACATCAAAAATTCTTACTTTTGATGAGACAGTGATAAAAAAGTCATATAACAACATTTACTTCAGTGTTGTTTTAAGGAAGCTTTTTTTGTGTGATTTTCACACAGAACATCATATAATACGGAAAAATATGCTAAGATAGCTATTCTGACTTGTCCCTTTATTTAATTTTACCAAAGCACCTAAAACTCAAATAGTTTTACTAATATCTCAGGGCTCGACATTAACGCTTGTCCGGTACCAGTGAAAAAAAAATACGGACAAGTGATTATTGCTGGGCACTTGTCCGATTGGACAAGTGCATTTTAATGTAAAGGAGTCTCTAAATAATTAAAAGAATGACTGTTGAAAGCTAATCAGAATTTTCAAGACGGAAGCTGTACATAAAATCCAGACTTTGATCCTGATATTTACCGCTATATTAATTAGGGCTGGGTATTGGCCCGAGATTTTGTATTGCGATATATTGCGATATTTATAACTGTATTGCGATATGTATTGCAATATTTTTAAAGTAATTTAAATGGCATTTTCTTACAATATTTACTTAAATTTACATGCAGAATGTACATAACTATGATAAATAACCCATGCATAAAAAAAAATCTTGTTGATTTCATTTAAGTTATGCTGAAATGTTCCCACAAAACAACTTCTGTCTTACTGTTTGGCTTAATAACAAACTTTCATACATTCATTTCTATATTTAATCACAAAATTCTTTAAACAATATATATCGATATTGCGAGATTGTATTGTATATGAAATATCGTCCATGGTTCAGCAGGTAAGAAGTAGCATTCTGTTAACATAAAAACTTGAAGAAGTTATATATATTCATCACTCCAGTATTGTTTGTAGATTGTATCATACTGAAATGATTGTTTAAATACTGTATTTATTGCCATGCATTGCCTGTTACCAAATCCAGACTCTAAATTAAATGAATTGTATTCAGAAAAACAAATAATTGAGATTTTTTGAAATGGTTGTGGAAATGTTATTGACATTGTATTAAAATTATCTATTAAATTTTCTTGATACCATTTTATTTGTCTTTTAGGTAAAAGACACAGGTGCTAATTTGGTTATCTGTCAGTGGGGATTTGATGATGAAGCAAACCACCTGTTACTACAGAAAAGTCTGCCTGCTGTGCGATGGGTGGGAGGACCAGAAATAGAGGTATGACATGCAAAGGAAAAAAGATTAATTTTATCTAACCAGCAGCTGTAAAAATGCATTTTAAGAAATTAGCATGATTTTTGAAATAAAGATCTATTATCAACAACATATATGTCGAAGGCTTATGTCGAAATAGGCCCCGTTTTCTTATATATATGATTTTAAAAACAAAATGCAATTTATACATACAGTTAGCATGATTTTTTAAATAAAGATATACTTTAACTTGCAATTGTTTATCTCTTACAGTTAATAGCTATAGCAACAGGAGGCAGAATTGTACCCAGATTTGAGGAGCTAACAAAAGAGAAACTAGGAAAAGCAGGAACTGTCAGGGAACTGTCCTTTGGTACAACTAAAGATAGAATGTTAGTGATAGAAGATTGTAATAACTCACGAGCAGTCACCATATTTATTAGGGGAGGTAACAAAATGGTAAGTTTTTATAACAGATTGGAGGTGAGCTTTGCTATTCAAAATTTGTTCCAGATTTAGTGTAAAATTTTCATTCATTCAGAACGTTTTCTATAGTTACGAATTGACGAATTTTTATGGTATTTTAGCACTTGCATTGAATATATTGAATGTTCAAGTTATTTACTATTTAGAAGTCAATCAATTCCAATGCCCTTTGATATGACTTGATGTTTTGTAGATTATTGAGGAGGGTAAGAGAAGTATCCATGATGCCCTGTGTGTGATCAGGAACCTGGTCAAGGACAACAGGATTGTGTACGGGGGCGGGGCACCAGAAATCTCGTGTTCAGTGGCCGTCGCTGAGGCCGCCAAAAAGGTGTGTATACAGCAGACTGTGAAAGGAGACCATATGGTAATGTTGGGTTAACTCGTGCACAAGTGTTTTACAGTGTATGTGATATGCTGGCTCTGTCTTGTGCTAAAGTATTGCTCTCCTCAAATTATTGTTATGTTTTCATAAAGATCTAAACATAATATCTATGGGGAAAACAAGTGATTCTAGAGAAATACTCTTTTTTAAAAAATTGTGATGGAACGAATGCTGCCAACAATCGATTGTTAGTGGTTAAGATGCTACTTATCCATTAAAAAATAAACTCCTTACTCAGAGACTCTAGCACAAATTCTTTTAAGTCTGCACCATATGGGCAACGGCATGTCATTTAAAATATATGAAAATTCATCAACAATAATGAAGAGATTTATATGGCAGAATTTTCTATGTTTAGGTAGTTGATTGATGCATGAGGAATTTCAGTCTTTGAAATATTCAAAAGCTGGCTCAGACATCATGCGAGAGAAATGTGCTTCTTTAACCATGGTTATGTTTCTTCATGGAACTTAAACACTGATGAAAGATGTACAGATTTCATATACATGTATATATTCCATATCTTTTGAATAGAAAATAGTCCTGTCAGATCTCATAATTTCTAATTCAGTAGAACAGAGAAAATTTTCACTTACTTAGAATGAGGATTAAAAAGGAAAAAATTGTTGTGGTGTTAGACTCACTTTCACATATTCATGGTATTTGAGACATAAACATTCTAAATACTGTCAGAAAATGAAAGCTTATTGTTTTTAGATATTTTCATAAAGAATTTTTTTTGATGAATTGGACTCTATGTATACATGGTACAGGTATATATCAGCTTAACTTTGGGAATTTTTTTCTAAAACCTTGATTTTTCCTACATTAACACTTGCTTTGATATGCTTTGTAAAGCTGATATATCAGATTTATATTTCAAAAGTATAAATACAGTCACATATTGTTAATTCAGTGTTCAAATTCAAAAGATATCCTATAATTCAAGGTATGAAGATTAAAATAAAAATACATAAAGAAAGTATGGTGGGGACTACAAACATCTATGGTATTTGAGATATTAATGCCCTGTATGTCAGGATTTCGTAAAAGTTCAAAATTGTTAAGGGGCTTACCGGTAATTGAAATCCTGTTCCCACTTTAAAATATTGCATGAGGAATTTCAGTTTTTGAACCATTCGTAAACTGACTCAGACATCATGCTAGAGAAATAGACTTCTTTAACCATGGTTATGTTTCTTTATGGAACTTAAACACTGATGAAAGATGTACATTTTTCCTAAGAAGGAATATTAGTAGTCAAAGTGGTTATAGTCACAAATTTTTGAACCACCTCTTTTTTCTTACAGATATCTACTCTAGAACAGTATGCAATGAAATCATTTGCAGAAGCATTAGAAAGTATACCTCTGGCATTAGCAGAAAACTCTGGATTTGCCCCAATCCACACACTAGCTGAAATTAAATCTAGACAAGTCAAGGAAAACAACCCCAGGCTAGGAATAGATTGTCTTAATAAGGGAACCAATGGTAAGTGGAAATATTGATTGGTAAAATGGTTGTTTACTAGTGGAAGATTTTTCATGTCATAGTGTCATTTTATCAGTTTTCCAGAATAAGTTGCATCTCTTAAAGAATTGTAATAATGACTTGTTTTTCAAATCATTAAGTTATAATACAAGCAGCAATATATATTGTATAAAATATACATGTATGTCTATAATTGATGTAATTGTGTTTTCAATGCCTACCTTTATATTTCAGACATGAAGTCCCAGTCTGTGATAGAGACGTTATCTTCCAAGAGAGCCCAGATTCTGTTGGCCGTACAACTGACAAAGATGATCCTAAAAATCGACGACGTCAGAGGAAGTGCCGATCAGGTGAGTTATCCAGACCTACCGTGTGTAGAGGATCTACTGGGATTGTGTAGGAGATATACCCTGTGACATACTATAGAAGCAGGAATTTTTGTGTGGATAAAATTTTGTTGAATTGTCATCTAAAAGGTTTTGTGGGCATTAAATTTTGCTGTTTCGAAGGTAACTCTATTTAATATAAAGTCATAAATAGATTCATATGGGATTTAATTCTGTTGATAATTGTTAACAATGAAACAAACAAAATTTAATTCCCAACAAATATTTTTGCTTTTACAGTAGTTGAAATTTAATTTATACTATTTGTGTGGAATCGGTTCAGGGGTTTTGATGTGGCATAAACTTGAGCTTTCTGCAAATAAATTGTACTTAAACCAATTTTTCTTTGTGGCTAAATGTACTGTCCTATTTTACTTCTTACATTTGGAACATTTTTGTTTTTATTTAACAAAAAGTATTTCTGAAGATGTCAGAGCCGTTTAATTTTTAGAATTCAAACAAATCTTTCTATGTATATCACAAAATTTGTAAAAGATAGTCAGTTATATGGGAGGGTTAATTTACTGTACACAATGTATGGTTTTATATGTAACTTATAACCAAGTTGGCATTTAAGGAAATAGTGCTGTGTGAGATAATTTTCTTCCTGAATACTTACAATTATGTTTTGCTTTACTACAGATGTGAGATGTGGTAAGTAAGGTTGCTGTGCTAGTGTGTTTGATCGACGATCTGTCTGATTCATGTAGAGGTTCATTTCTCCTAGTTCATTTGACTGTTTTCAGACTTTTCATTTAGTAGGCTTTGTATTTTAGAATCCTTTTCTCCATATGCAGAATCACACCACATTTTACTTATCTTCATTTAAAGGTTTTCCGTATTATTATGATTTCTTTATTTATTTTCCATGTGTATTTTGTAAAAGATCATTTTTTTTTTTGTGTGTTTATAAGGATAACGTGTGGACTAAATGATTTCCAATTCATAAAGCAACTAAATGTAGAGAAAAATTCAAACCTAGCTCAACCACAATTGTAATTCATCATCTTCAAAATGTTGAAGCATGAAAAATTTCATTCCAGTGATTACATCATAGTTTATCATTGTGTCTTTCTTAATTAAATTATCTTTCTTAAAAAAAAAAAGAATCATAATTTTATCTTTAGATAGGAAATTTAGAATGATCAGTAGTTTAAAAGATGTGTTTTTCTGTCTTTCACTTCAAAACCTTCTTTGAAAATATTCTATCTCATTTTGGTATTGTGTAACCTGTACATGTACCAGATTAAAACACAGCCAATTTTTTCTGTGGCTATTTCACTTGCCTTGCATACTGGTTCATTTTTATACTTTAACAATTTTTTTTAACTCATAGTATATCATTTATGTAATACACATGTGCATATTATTTACATAGCATTTATTTATGTGAATTTTAGAGATATTTTAAAGATGTGAATAGAGTAATGTACTCTTCTTTCTTTCATTTCAGGTCTAGCTGTAAATGTGGAAACCGTATGCAATATATAAAAGACATAAATTATTAAGTGACCAGGACGTTTTTTTTGTGTTGGAACATTGGAGACTGTTGTGAATGGTTTTCATATGTGACATAACTGAATTCCATTACATTTCCCAGCGATTTAGTACTAGTGTGAATGATTCACATGTACATTGTCAAATTTTCATGATAGTGTACTTGGTGAAGTATGAGTGACTTTTTTAATACATTAAGATATTATATACCTGTTTGGATCAGACTGCTTGAACAAATTAAAATATGATGAAATTGTCATCGCTTTTCTTGACTTTTTGAAGGGAGGGATGGGGTTGAACACCAGATACTGGGGCTTTATAGATTAAAAAGTTAAAACTATTTTATTCTAAATTCTTCAGTAGACAAACCATGTGAATATGAGCAAGAGTACCTCTTCCAACATTGTGAAATTTAGGGTCATTGTTATTTAATTTATTTTTTGAAAATCTTCATTGGTCCTGCTTACTTAGATCTAGCAGCTAAACTAGGTGCCTTTTCCATGGCATAGAGGATTTGGTGTTCGAACAGGCTCTATTGGACATACAGTGAAAATGCATTAATCCATTAAAAATCTTTTTCTCTGCTCCTGAGTATATTTGACAGCAAACTAGTGCACCAATGGTAAGTAGAAAAAATGGTTATGATAGGATTTTTCATTTATAGTGTCAATTTAGGTGCCAATTTTCCATGGCTTTAATAAGTTTGGCTGTGTGAAGAATTCTTCATTGAAGGCTGGCATTTTATATAACATGCAGGGTTTTAAGTGAATAGATATGATGAGCAAGATTTTCAAAATTGTTAAACTCATTGCCCTTGATTCAAGGGCTCTAGAGTTAAGGAGGGGTGTTTTTAAAAAAAAAAATGCATTCATTCTTTGAAAAACCTTTTTTTAAATCATGGCATCTGAGACAGGTGTTCAGAGATAACTTATCCAAAAAGGGGACATCATTGGATATTTATTCTGTTGACATAAGTTTTATGCTAAAATAATTATGTAATATTTCATGATAATGATGGTATATACAGACAAGTTTCTGAGTCGCTAATTCATACCAGGGTATTTTGTAGAGCCCTGCCCATCCCTTTTGTGTCAGGTTATATTATGTTATTTAATAATTATTTACTATTCCCTCTATTAAACATGTAAGGTCCTTAGGCCTCCTGTTGATATTGAACATTTCCTGGAATCCCAAAGATATTTTAATTACTCGTAAAACATTTGAACTGTATTATAAGATTATTTTGAATCTTTCCTTTTCCATTACACCTAGAAATCACTTGAAACCAATTCTTGGAAATTCAAAGAAAATTCAAAATTATCTGTTGAAATAACGAGAAATTTTCATTTCGTCCGATGACCCCAGTTATTTCTGAATGTGCTTAACAAAGCACTAAACATTGGTAGAACTTATTAAGTGCAGGGAGTCCCATCATACTGCTAACATCAACAAGTTTTAAAAAAAATAATTAGATGGTTGAGTAGAGAATTTTATTGCTAGATATTGTTAAATGTTTGAAAAACCAGGCCTAGATTACCATACTCAATTACTTCGCTAGAGAAGGTAGTGTTTTGTTAGCCCCCCCCCCCCCCCCTTAAAATAGAAAAGATAGTTTGCTTTCTATGAACAGATAATTAAACTCACTTTAATTCATGTCATCACAATGTAATTTCCCTTTAATATATGTAATTTCGGAAATCACAGACCTTGACATTGTGAGGATGCGTAACTCGTATCCACCCTCCCTCCCCCCAAACTTGGGAAGATTCTGAGCTCCACTGTCACCTTTGTCGTAGAGATCCATTTCAGAGAATTGAACATTAAAATGGGTTGATCGCGCTCCGATTTTCACATTAGAAGTACATCTCTTGGACTTGTACAGTGCCTTTACCATCTATACGTGCCCATTGACCAAGATAAAGTTAAGAGACCAAATGACTGAATACCTTACTCACCCCGTATTGTTAACCTTGGAGAAATATGGAAAATAAACTTTATGTCATATAAATCCATTTAAATGTTTTCTAAATCGTCTATTGATGTCCCCTTTAACAATTCTGTTCAACTGATAAATGATTCTTTGACTGGGTATAGAAATGGAACATAAAAGCATCTTTGTGTTCAGCGACGGTAAACAAATTCTCACGGAGAGTTAGATATTAGACCTGTACATATATAAATTTTGGGATCAGAATTTTTTTTGTGAGGGATATCATGAATAAGTCTTATTCTGTAACAGACTGGGCATTACATGATGGGAATACGGACACCAATACTGGGGTGGATCCCACAGGAATGTTCTATTTACAGGATGAGGATAATGATTCAAATATGGAGACAGGTACATGTACATACGTGTATGCACTCTTATTTTCCATCATGGATCCTCTGTACACAATGCACTAAGAAGTTATGATCTGACTTCAGATCTAAAATCATTTTAAAAATTTTACTTTAGTAAAGCACTTTTGACATTCTATTAGACATTTAAGGATTATATTATTAGGAAGATGAACATTTCATTGCATGTATTTTCCAATGTTTAAGGATAATAAGATGATTCATCTTTTTTTTTTTGGCGCCTTTGAAAATTTTCCTTGGAATAACAGTAAGTGGTAATAATTCATCCTGAAAATGAAATAGAAAAATACAATATTTACGATATAATTTTTTTTTATAGGTTCGAACATTTTTATTAGTCTCTTTGGGGTCTTTTAGGCATGTTGCATCGGAGGGTGGGGTTGGAGTCCTGGCTCCCTATAGATCTTGCGTACTGTAGTCAAATAAGGTTGTAATAGTGTATGAATCAAGTGAAATATGTTTAGTCGAATTGTGCATGGATGCAAAAAGTGCTTTTCTGTAAAGAAAAGAGAGTTGTGGGAATGATTTAAAACAACTTTAAAAAAAAATACATACATTTTAAGTTGCATAATTATTATGTGGGCGTCATATCAAAGAATCCTGGCTCCAAGTCTTGTATTGTTATGAAAATTTAATAAGATAGATTATCTCCAAAATGGACATCAAACAAACTTTAATATTCAAACAAGATCGGTGCCATTAACTATAACGTTCAGATTATCGACCTCCCTAACATCGATGCTTTGGACAATTTGTTTTTTTTTTTCCGTTGGAAACCTCTCTTATATAAAGATGAAGACAGTGTTTTGGGTTTGTCTGCATTTTTTTGTAGACACGGAGATACTGAGAATTTAGTTCTTTGTTTTCCACTGTTTTTCCCTATATGGGCAAGTATATTTCAAGATTTTCTTTTAAACTGAATCCTGATTCCAGGAATTACTAGAAGAATTTTTTTTTTTTTTGTTATAATTTAAATATTGTGTTTTTTTTTTTTTTTTTTTAATTTAAATATTGTGAATGAGCTATGTGGAGTTAAGGATGGATATACAACTCACTAATTCGAAAAGCTAAGATTGGACGAATTTCTATCCCAGTTTCAGCTAGCGCGCTAAACCACTGAACGAGCTACAGATCTTCAGCCAAGTGCACTCTAAGCGTCTTGTACGTTGTCAATGTTCTAGAATTTATAATTAAAAAAATAATTATAATGTTACTTTTCAGCACGTGGCTAAGATTTCACTTGTTAACAAAATAGAATGATACGCTTGTTCTTTTAAAGAATAGTAGTGTTTATATCTTTTGAAGAGCAAGTTCCATGAATTGATCTGAAAAGTTAAGCACAACTGATTTTCGAGTTCTGTTTTGAATCAAGTCATTTAATATGAAAAGTTAAGGACTATCTTAAATTAATTTACAAGCTATCGTGATAACATATCCGATAAAATGTTTACAACTTTTCATAAAGCATCAACAAGCCAAGAGAAGCTAAGAAAATTGAGAGGTAGGCAGATTACAGATACTCATCCTGGTCAGAAAAGACAAAAAGGTTTTTCGGGCTCTATTTAAATTCTATAAGTTATAGTTAATAAATTATTCTTCATTTTTTATTTGGTTTTTCAAATAAATTCTAGTAATTGCCCTTTCAGTTGTTACTTACGTATTGTACATCCTCTGCCTTTTTAGGTCACCTGAGTAAACTCAGGTGACCTCCCAGGTAGCACAAAACGTTTTCATAACATTATATTCCGGTTGTAAGGATGTTATTCCAAAACGTTCTTGACATAACGTTTGAAAAATGTTTTTAACATTTTATTTAGGTTATTTCGACGTTGTTAGAAAACGTTTCCCCAAAACATTTTAAAAATGTTTTTTTCATAACGTTTAATTCTGGTTGGAAGGAAGTTTTAGAAAACATTTTTGCATAACATTTTTATAATTATAATAAGATTTTTTTTTATTGCTTAAAAAGCATTATAAAAAATGTTTTCATATTCCATTGTTTGAGAAAAACTATTCTAAAAACTCATAATATGATATTAAGAATATACACAGTGTGTTGTGTACGTTGACTCAAATTTTAAGAATATTTATTTTTAAACTGAATGAAATTTATTATAAATTCCGATTACAAATGATACCAGAAAACATGAATATAACATTGTCTTAAAATGTTTGGAAAACGTTGTTAAAACGTTATAGAAACAACAAATATCTCTATATATTTCAATTCTTAAAAAATATACATTTAATATTTACTTTTTTGTTTGTTTGTTATTAATACTAGGTGATATCTTTTAAAGCATACTAAGGAAAAAAATTAAACAAAAATGTTTTTAATTTAGTTCTTTTTTAATTGTTTTATATGCCACATTGATTTCCTAAAAAAAAAAAATGATTGTGAAAAATGTATAAAAAGCCATTTTTAAGTATTTTTCCGAAGATGTGATGTAGTTCAACAAAGTAATGCAGTGCATTTATTCACTTGTGTTGTTTCCTCCTGGGTAACGCGTTTATCAAAAGTTAATTGATTGACACAGCGGGATGTCGTGGTCAGCGCTGATGAAACCGCTCCTTGCTGCAAACTATTTCCACGTGATCTATATAGGTCAACTTATCAAGATTTTGAAAAACCGGGCAGCATTCTTGAGAGACAAAGAACAGGATTTAGGGAATATTTTACATCACCGTATGGTAAGTTGAATTTAAAGTTGTATTCATCGTGTATACATGTATTAAGAAATAGTATTATAGCTGCATGTGTTTGTATAAGCCTGAATCATTCCTTGTAAACAATGGTAAATGATTGTATATATCCTGGATATTTGAGGGCGGTTAATTGGTTGTTTTTTAAGTAAACTGATCATTGAAGTTTATCATGATTGTGCATTTATTTTACATATGTATTATGTCTTGTGTCTAGTGTGAATATTCTTTATTAAGGTGTACTTTAGTATAATCACCCCAGGCTTAGAGATAGATTTTCAAATTGTGATTTAAATAGACGAGTAGGTTGAGTTTGCGTGTTTGTGTGTGTGTGTGTGTGGGGGGGGGGGGGGGGGCTTAACGAGTTGGTTTAATACTTCTTTGGAAATGTAAAATGATTTGTATTTATATACAGTGTCATGTATATATTTTTCAATTTACAATTCTCAAAATGAATATCATTTTTCATTTTACAGCGGCTGTTTGCAAAGACTAAATATTACATGTTATGAGAGGAATTGGACAGAATGAAGTTTGCTACACACCATCTTTGAGGGATTTACCAGGGTATTAATTTTAAAGGTATGTTTGAAATTTCCTGACACGAATGCATAACGGAGATAGATTTATCATGTTTATTTAGTATAGATTTTATAGAACTGTTGCCAAAAACATACACACTTTTCTTGCATTTATCGGATTTATGACTATGTATAGTTTTTATAAATCTTCTAAAATTATTCTCTATATCTTTGTTTTTCAGAAGAAAACAAAGAAATCCAAGTGCCAAACAGATGATTTCCAAAGAAAGAAGGATATTGTGATTTTTTTTCTTATTTCAATTGTGACAAATCTTCCCTGTTAAGAAGACTTTTATTGACTGTGTGGATGTAAAAAAGAGTTCATTGATTATATTTGTGAAAGAGTTTAAACCAATTAAAACCATAGGAAGTACAATACTTTTTTTGTTGTAATTTTTTTTAATCCTTTAAAACATGTTAGAAATGTTCTGAAAACGATTTTAAAAATGTTTTGAAAACGTTTTCAAAAATGTTTTCCAAACATTGCAGGACAATGTTTTTGAAAAACGTTATGATAACGTTTAAAAAACCATACAAAATAACGTTGTAATAACGTTTTAGAAAATGTTTTTATAACATTTTGAAAACGTTTTGATAACGTTTTAATAACGTTGTTGTGCTACCTGGGCTATTGCTATCCGTTTTCGTCTGTCGTCGTTCGTCGTACGTCGTGTGTCGTGCGTCGTTCGTAAACTTTTGAACATTTTTAACTTCTTCTCTGGAACTACTGAACCAATTTCAACCAAATTTGGAATACAGCATCTATAGGTAAAGAGGAACAAAAATTGTGAATTTCATGGTCCCTGCCCCCCTGGGGCCTTAGGGGTGGGGCCAAAACCACTAAAATTAATGCAATCTTTAAAAATCTTCTTTTTTACTCCTGGACATCAAGCAGTCAAACTGTTGACATGATTGTAATCAGCATTGAGTCCTCTACAAAAATTGTGAAATTCATGGCCCCTGGGTCAGGGGTTCTGGTGTAAGGGCGGGGCTATATAGATCATATAGTAAAAGTGCATTATTTCTTTGAAAATCTTCTTCTCTGCTCCTGGGTATTAAATAAACCAACTAAGAACATAGTTATGTTGACCAAGAGTGCCTCTTCAATAATTGTGAATTTCATGGCCCCTGGGTCAGGGGTTCTGGTGTAAGGGCGGGGCTATATAGATCATATAGTGAAAGTGCATTATTTCTTTAAAAATTGTCTTCTCTTCTCCTGGGTATTAAATAAACTAACTAAGAACATAGTTATGATGACCAAGAGTGCCTCTTCAATAATTGTGAATTTCATGGCCCCTGGGTCAGGGGTTCTGGTGTAAGGGCGGGGCTATATAGATCATATAGTAAAAGTGCATTATTTCTTTAAAAAACGTCTTCTCTTCTCCTGGGTATTAAATAAACTAACTAAGAACATAGTTATGATGACCAAGAGTGCCTCTTCAACAATTGTGAATTTCATGGCCCCTGGATCAGGGGTTCTGGTGTTAGGGCGGGGCTCTATTGATTGTATAGTAAAAAAAACCCATTAATTCTTCAAAAATCTTCTTCTCTGCTCCTTAGTATTAAACAGGCTAACTTAGTGCATAGTTGTGATGACCAAGAGTGCATCCTCCAAATTGTGAATTTTATGGCCCCAGGGTCAGGGGTTCTAGGGCGGGGCTCTATTGATTATATAGTGAAAATGCATGAATTCTTTAAAAATCTTCTTCTTTGCTCCTGGGTATTAAACAAACTAAGTAAGTATATAGTTATGATGAACAAGAGTGTCTCTTCCAAAATTGTGAATTTTGTGGCCCCTGGGTTGGGGGTTGTGATGTAAGGGCTAGGCTTTATTGACTATATAGTGAAAATACATTGTTTCTCAAAAATCATCTTCTCTGCTCCTTGGTATTAAACAAATGAACTATGTACATAGTTATGATGAGGAAGGATGCTTCTTCCAAAACTGTGAATTTCATGGCCCCTGGGTCAGGGGTTCTGGTGTTAGGGTGGAGCTCTAATGATTATATATAGTGAAAATGCATGAATTCTTTGAAAATCCATTCCATTGCTCCTAGGTATTATGCGAATGATCTTAGTTTATATATTTATGATGAAGAAAGGTGCATCTAGCAAAATGATAAATTTCATGTTCTCTGGTTCAGGGATATCGGGAAGGGGGGGGGGGGGTAAAGTACATAGTCTGAAGATAAATATTAAATGCTTTGAAATCTGCTCTGTGGTATTAATCAACCGTTTATGATGAAATAAAATTTATGATAAAATTTCCAAAATTTTGAAATGTGTGGCCCCAGGGTCAGTGGTTCCTGAGGGGTGGGGTGCACCACTAGCTGGTTATAAAGTGAAAATGCATTTTCTCTTTCTTACTCTGATCTAACTTTGGGTATTAAGTAACTAGAGTAAGCATTCTAAAAAGTGTATAACTATACTTTCTACAATTCTATAAAGTGTATAATTATGATAAGCAATGGCGCTTCTTTCAAAATCTTGAATTTCATGGAATCTGGTTTAAAACACAAACCAAATTTAATATTTGGAAAGTTGTTTCATGATACTCAGGTGACCTATAAGGCCCGTAGGCCTCTTGTTATTAATTAAAATACACTTTTGAATTTTTAAGGCACATTGAATTTTTTGTTCAAATTGCGTAACCACAAGGACAGAAGACACCCCTCCCTCTTTTTAGGGAAATGGATATTAAAAAAAACGCGATTCTAAGCATCAAATGAGAAAAAAAAAACAAAAAACATTATATTGAATAGTGAAAATTAAAAAAAGCTCACAATATAACATATGTATTTTGAACTATATTCCTACAATTTGACTGTAAAGGAAACCTGTAACCAAATTTACCGAAAAATATTTTTAGGTATAAATGTTTAAACTTGCCATTAAAAAATAAAAATGTTGGAAGGTCGCACAGGCAATTTTTTTAGTAATATTTTTTAACTCATAGTACAATAATGCATAAAATCTGTACATACCTACAACGGCTAACAACTGCAGCTTAGTTAATTTAACTGCAATATGGTCAGAGTTCTTAATAAAATATTTATAACGTGTACTTCTCTTTTGTAGAACAAAAGGCAGCCTACGAGAATCGCTCACCGGTAGAAGATGAAGAACCAAAAATAAAACAAGTGGAAGAGAGCGAGAGCAGATTGTTTGCTAAAGTCGATGATCAAATAGAGGAGGATGAAGAAAAGAAGGAAAATATAGAGCTCCCAGCTGTAATACACGCTAAATCGGTAAGACAAGGCTAATTGTAATGCACGCTAAATCGGTAAGACAAGGATTACTGTAATACACGCTAAATCGGTAAGGCAGGGCTTACTGTAATACATGCTAAATCGGTAAGACAAGGCTAATTGTAATACACACTAAATCGGTAAGACAAGGATTACTGTAATACACGCTAATTTATCCGTTAGGTAAGGCTAAATATAATATAGGTTAAATCGGTAAGACAGGGCTTACTGTAATACACGGAAAATCGGTAAGGCAGGGCTTACTGTTATACACGGTAAATCGGTAAGACAAGGCATTCTGTAATACAAGATTAATCGGTAAGGCAAGGCTTTCTGTAATACACGCTAAATCAGTTAGCTTATGCTTATATTGTATTACATGCTGAAGTAAGCCGTAAGGTTCCGTTTACTGTAACACACGCTAAATCGGTAAAGCTATGAAAACTGTAATATATGCACTTAATGTAATACACGGTAAATCCGTAAGGCAAGGCTGGCTGTAATACATGGTAAATCGGTAAGACAAGGCTTTCTGTAATACACGGTAAATCGGTAAGACAAGGCTGGCTGTAATACACGCTAAATCTGTAAGGCTAAGCTAAATGTAATTTACAGTGTAATATACACATAATCGAGAAGGCTACAGAAGTGTTAGGCACGCCAAAATCGGCAAGGCAACGTTAATTGTAATGCATGCTAAATCGGTAAGACTATGCCATATGTAATACCTGCTAAATTGGTAAGGCTACGCTAACTTTAAGGCACGCTTAATTGGTAAGGATACTCTTACTTTAATACACTAAACAGGTAAGGCAATGCTTACTGTAATACATTAATTCAGTAAGTGACTTAGTTGACTGAAATACACGCTTAATCAGTTTACAAGCCTAAATTGATTGTATAGGAGGAGACAGAAACAGCTGTAATCTAAGTAAACAATATAATGCTTTCTTTTGTTGTTAGAAGGGGAATGAATGTTGCAGTTATTTCAGAAAAAAAACGTAAAATTAAAATATGTTGAATATTACATTGTAGACATTTATGTCATTGTATGCATACACAGTAACTGATGGAACACTAACATCCATTTTCCAGAAATCTATGTAGGTGGCTTGCTAAGTGTCGTTTATGGACTGATTAACGGCAATGATCTTCATTGCCGTTAATCAGTCCATAAACGATCGAAAGAAATATAAAGGAAATAATATGCAGTTGACGTAAACATATGTTTTATTAAGAAAATACGGGAACTCTTATGCAGCAGGTACTCAGGACAGCTTTTTGGGGGGGGGTGTCTCTCTTACATGGAATGATTTTATTTTTGGTCTGAAATAAGATTTGTCTTTAGGAAGCAGTAAAAAAAAAATAAATACGTACTTTAGTTTTTCCTTCATAGTTTTATTCTTTGTAATACCCGGTATGTAACCATTTCTGATCTAGGAAGGGAGATGGATATCTCAAAGCAAGGAGAAAAACAATCATCCTAAAATTGTGTAGACATGATTTTTTAAGTATTTCATTGAGGACATTTCTTTTATCTTTTAGCCATCACCTTTGCCGGAGGATATTAATGGTAATCCTGTGGAATGTGTGAAAAGGACTCTAAGGATCATAGACTCACTCTTATGATAAACACCCTCAAAGGATCAGAGACTTACACTCATAATGAACACACTTAAATGATCATAGACTCTCACTCTAAGGATGAACATACTCTAAGGATAATAGATCTACTCACATAATGAACACTCTCAAAGTATCTAAACTCACTGTCATGAAACACTCCGAGGGTAAAACAGGCTCATGATAAGGACACTTTAAGGATTAGACAGGCTGATCATGAATGTGCTCTTAGGATTAGAGAAGCTCATAATGAAGAAATTATAAGGAATAGACAGGCTCATATGAAGATGAAGGCACTCTGAGTATTAGACAGGCTCATGATAAAGCATTCTAAGGATTAGACAAGCTCATAATGATAAGACAGCTCATGATCAAGACACTCTTAGGATTAGAAGGTTCATGATGAAGACACTCTTAGGAATAAACAGGTTCATGATGAAGACACTTAGAATAAGACAGGCTCATGATGAAGACACTTTAAGGATTAGACAGGCTCATGATGAAGACTACCTTAGGATTAGACAGGCTCATGATGAAGACACTCTAAGGATTAGACAGGCTCATGATGAAAACAGTCTTAGGATTAGACAGGCTTTTGATGAAGACACTTTAAGGATTAGACAGGCTCATGATGAAGACACTCTGGGGATTAGACAGGCTTGTTATGAAGACAATCTTCAGATGAAAAGATAGCTCATGATGAACACACTGTAAGGATTAGACAGGCTTATGATGAAGACTATCTTAGGATTAGACAAGCTCATAATTAATAGACAGCTCATGATGAAGACACTCTTAGAATTAGACAAGCTCACAATGAAGACCTTTTAAGGATAAGACAAGATCATAATGAAGAAACTGTAAGGAAAAGACAAGCTCATGATGAAGACACTTTGAGGATTAAACAAGCTCAGGATATAGTACTCTAAGGATTAAACAAGCTCATGATGAAGACACTCTGAGGATTAAACAAGCTCATAATGAAGACACTCTTAGAATAGACAGGCTCATGATGAAGACACTCTTATGATTAGACAAGGTCATAATGAATAGACAGACTCATTATGGAGCACTCTAAAGGTTAGACAGGTTCAAGATAAAGACACTTTAAGGATTAGACAAGCTCATGATGATAACACTCTTAAGATTGGACAAGCTCATGATGAAGACTCACTCTAAGGATTGGACAGGTTCATGACGAAGATATTCTTAGGATTAGTTTGCTCATAATGAAGACACTGTAAGGATTAGACATGCTTTGATGAAGACACAGTAAGGATCATGACCTCTCTCTCATAAAGAACACAGATACATGTAGCAACTAAATTTTTTAACTTGTTTGACATTATGAAAAATTGGCAATTTTTATCTTCTCTCTGTCCAAATCACTTATTGCACAGAATCACAAATATACATTTTATGTTTCATTTAAAAATTGTTTAATGTATAGTCATTAACATTCCAGTGTTGTTTTCCTGTTCTTGATGATAGTTATTTGCTTTAGTTTGCTAAATCATGTTACATGTATAATTTAAAAAAAATATATCACCATTCTAGCCTTGAAACATCCATTCAATGCTATAAAATGTTTATTTTACTATTGCACTGACTTTTATTTATTTGACTGTGTTCAATTATTTGATGATTTCTGTCAAAAATACAATAAAAGTTTAATATAATTGTACCACAACGTTTTTCTCTATGGGGTGTTTGTTTTTTACCCACGTCACAAAATATTGTGGATCCTGTGTTTTAAGTCAGGAACTCTAGATCTTTATAGATCTAATGTAAGACCAACACCAGTTTGTTTTAACAAGTGTATTAACAATATCCAAACGTAGTTTACAATCCAGTACAAGCAATGTATGTCTGCTTACTCTCTCTCTCTCCTTACATACCCTGTCTGACACCTAATGTGATTTAGGGCACCCTGTTAGGGCGTTAAGCTCCATCGTAAGGGAACCTGTTAAGACATTAGGCTCCATCATTAGGGCATCCTGTTAGGGCATTAGGCTCCATCATTAGGGCACCCTGTTAGGGCATTAGGCTCCATCATTAGGGCACCCTGTTAGGGCATTAGGCTCCATCATTAAAGCACCCTGTTAGGGCATTAGGCTCCATCATTAGGGCACCTTGTTAGGGCATTAAGCTCCATCGTAAGGGCACCTGTTAGGGCATTAGGCTCCATCATTAGGGCACCCTGTTAGGACATTAGGCTCCATCATTAGGGCACCCTGTTAGGGCATTAGGCTCCATCATTAGGGCACCCTGTTTGGGCATTAGGCTCCATCATTAGGGCACCCTGTTAGGGCATTAGGCTCCAAATATTAGATTTTTTTTTAACTTGTTCATCTTCCAAGCTTTATGACTTAATGAAGAAAGGGCCACGGTTGTGTAAATGTCATCATAGTCAATTAAATGCAAATGATCCTTTGTTTCCAACTGTCATTAATGCCCTAGCTTGCATACTCAAAAACTAGGCAGTGATTTCTTAATCAGTTTATAGGTATACTAAAGTTACCAGTGAAAGACATATTTTGTCTAATGTGTCTCAATGTTAATACTGTGGTTTCGTCAATTTTCGATGATTTTGTTGTTGAGCAGATCCACATAATTAAATGTTCACTGACTTAAGTTGAATTAAAATTTGTATAGGTATTTAATGCTTTTGACCATAAAATTACATATCCTTGAAAACATCTGTTTTACAAAATACATAAAAATTGATGAAAGCACAGTATCTGATGTTAACTTAACCTTAAATTTAAGAATTAAGTCTGCAACTCTCAGACCCTAGGAGTGTTGAAACAGCATCAATCTAACAAAAAATTTATTATCTTTTCAGGCTCAAAGACATTTCCTCTAAAAACAACAAGTTAGATTGTTTTTACAGTTTAATGCATATCTATAAGCAATGTTACATATAGCTACAAGTGCTTATAACTAAAACCTACCTACATCAGAATATAGAGCAATATAATAAATCAGAAAACTGCATGTGACTTTTCTTCTAGCAGATGGACTGAATTTAATACACTGTACCAATAAATTTGGTTTACCAACATAGAAAAATTACAAAGACAGCTTTTAATGCATTCTTACATTTATCCTAGAAAAGTGGAAATGTGATATATTTAGAAAATTCAAATGTTTTTCATTATGTTTGAGGAAATATTCTATGTGCAATAAATAGAAGTGCTTTAAACTAGAGGTATTTTTCCTCATAATAAAATGAAGTACACGTTCATATGACAATATTCAAACCATTTTCATTTAATTCTTAATTTAGCACTGCAAAAAAGTTTTAACATTTAAAATACATTGTATTTCAATCTACTTTACTTTTGAAGAGTTATGTCCCTTCCCTTGTAAAATGCAGTACTTGAAGTTTTGTAAAAATGTGTTTTTGTCAGAAGTAGATGTGTTTGGTGTACAAAAGAAGTGCTAAAAATTTCAAAAGGAGAAAAATAATCTGTGCTGATGAAAAGCTTCCACTAAGAGCATCTTATTACACAAGCATCATGGAAGAATTACGGAAGTTTTAGGCAAAAATCTTTCTTGGACAAAACATATAAAAAAAAATCTTATTCAATCTGTATCTACTACAACCTAAAACTTAATTTCCTTAACAGTTAATGACAAACAGATGTAAATCTATTACAAAACAAAATGGAAATGTACAACCAAAATTTTTAAAAATCTCTTAGTACAATGAAATAAAAAAAAACACAAACTTAACAACAAACGAAAGACCTTCTCCATGTACATAGTTCAAAAACACAGCATCTGACATAAGGCATGAAAAAAAAAAATCCTGTTTTCTAGTTGTGGGCTCATTAAACATTGTGCAGAGAAAAGAAATGGTCTCAAAATATACAAAATAAAAGACAATTATTAAAGTACAGTAAAGAATGAACATGCATGATAAATGATTAACAAATAATTATAAGTATCCGCAATACAAAATCTCATTTTGTGAGTTTATCTTTTTTATGAGTGATTGAAATTTATTAAATTTTTTTTGAAGTAGTACAAATTCCTTTTCTTTGAATAATATCTATGAATTTCTTCCTATAAGTACAAGTAAAAGAATTTAATAAATTACAACCTCTTCTCTACAAAATTTGTGAAATACCTACATCTGAATTTAAAAAAAAATCCTTAAAAAAGTGTATCTTCAAGAATCAGGAAATGTTTAATATGTGATTGTACTTTGTTCGAAATACACTGAATTAACAGTACCAAAATAAAAATCAAGGTGGATTATGTCCCTTTGTTCAGCAAAACTTGAAGCATCACAATAGAATTACCATAAGCCTGCCCACAATTACCAGAAAGAACATGAATTGTTCAAAATCCAGATTTTCTGTCTATTCCAGTAAAACATCTTTTTAGGACACATTCAGTCACGATTTCTAAGCCACCTTGACATCGAAAAAAATTGATTTGATGAGAATGAAGTGGTGAATTTAGTTAGCGCTATCTTGTGAGTTCGCGCTTTCTGTGTGGACTTTTGGAGTTGCGGTCCCTGAATCCGTCAGAGACTTGGCGCCTTCCTTGAAGTTTAATTTTTGTGTTTCTATCTGCAATGGAAAAAAGGCAACATTTTATTACAAGGTATTGGCAGTTGTGGACTTAACCTTAAAGAATGAAGTCAATTTGAATGTGAGCAAAGATAGCATACATCATTATAATATCAAGCATTTCTTTAGAGAACATTATAAAGTTTATACACATCATATTTATGTTTTTATGGCATAATATTTGTATTATAAATTGAAAGATAAAATCAGAGAAATTTTATATATAAAACAGTGTATCACCATCAATTATGAGTAAAAATGCTATACTAGTATTTTATATTTTGTTTGAATAAGTTAGTAATATGGTATAAAAAAAATATTTCCCCTAATTGGCCCTTTTAACCAACATGCTGCACTATAGCAACACACACCTTCAAGAATGTCATTAAATACTAGCAAAGATATTTTTCAAGTGCTTGCTAAACATAATTTTCAATTTGAACTCCTTAAAAAGATCCACTTTTTATGAGCACAGCCTTGCAACTTGCATTCCACAAATAATTCAATATTTACTAAATCCACTTTTTTGCAATGTTAAAACATGGGGATTTACAGTTGTTAGACAAATTACCCCTAAAAGAAAGGAATATTGACATCACAGTGGATTGTATATCTGCAGAGAGTCAATATTTAAAGACCATTTTCTATACAAGGTGATATTTGTCCCATGTGTTCCATGCTATATCTGAACAAACAGCGGTAAACTTACAAAACACAGATAATTTATCGGGGTTGTCAAGCTGAGTTTTCAAGTCCTTCCATGACACTTACTGACCTGTGTTTCAAGCATTTGAAGTTATATTATGATAAAGAGATGCTTCTGTTGTTATTAAAATTGCAACGAGAGTCTAATCAAATTCTCATAATTCAAAAAGGGAGAGAATGGTGTGTGATAAATATAATTCTTATTTTAAGGTTCTCTATTTTATCCAAGTTGTTACTGGCATATGCATGTTTAGAATAAATTTTGGTGGAATTCCACCACTCCAACTTGTACAGACCATAAATTCATACTTTAGAATATATGTAAATCACTTCCCCTGTCAAAATATATTAAATTCCTTGTGCCCTCAAATATTAATCATTTCATATGTTACATGCTGAATTCTCTAATAGTCGGGTTCTACCCACCTGAAGACAAATAGCTCCATTGATTTTCACATGTCTTTTATCAAAATGAACATGCAATAATATAGTTCCTGAAGAAATATTAATATGACCTCTTAACAAATGAAGACCCCCCCCCTCCCACATCCCTTGCTATATACAGATCAAAGTCCTGAAAAAAAAAAATTAAAGAAATCAAATAATTTTATGCACTAGTCTACTTTTGTGAAATAAGATATACCCAAGCCGTAGGAAATATTACAACCATGTTTAATTTACCATGGCAAAGATGTGAAAGCCAAAGGTGATGTCACAGCAGAGCAAGGGGAGACAAATGCTATACAAACCATCAATTATCTGGAGTGTCTATTTCCCTGAACTTCTGACCCTGAATAAGAATGGTGATGGTCAACAAAATGTTTGAGCAAATGCAGATTTTGATGTGCAATACAAGATCCCAATACCTTTGATGGAAATGTTTGTTCAAAGCTTGCTCAAGAAATTTTTTTTGGCAATGAAAAAGTCTGATTACATCTGCATGCCAATTTGTTCTCATGCAATCATATTTCGAAAACTGCTCTTTCAAATCTCTGAGCTCTCTCTTATTTTTCTTTATTAAATTGAAATCACTTGAGCAAACCAGCCTGTGTTCTCATTGGAAGCCAGACAAATTTTCATTGTCGTCCAAATTGATAGGATGAGGGAAAGTTCTTTATAGATTGAGTGTATCTGAAAAGCCCTTTTTTGGCAAGATATGAATATTCTGCTCAAATGTATGATTGCCAACCAAAAAGTCTATACATCTACAACAAAAAATACTTTTTGATTAGCAAAAGAATATGTGTGTATACTCTACACAACCCCAGCATCTACTCTGAAAGGGAATCGAAAATTTTACGTTTACCGACTTATGACATCCCATCATCCTTTGCTGGTGGAGGATGCCCGACTGTTTAATCGACTGTGCTTTCCTATATTCAGAGAAAATTTTATGATATGAATTTGTTAAGTATTATTCAAACATAAAAAAATTCAAATTTATGCATACTAAACTGTTAGTCAAAGGTTTCCTTTTGTTATTAGATTTATGATTCTTAATAAAAAAAAACATGCTTCAAAAACATGATTTTTGTCTTATCATGCTAATTAACCAACAGCATGGAAATATGATAGTTTAGGTGTATTTGAATTGTATTAAATTTTGATTTGTAGAGTCGATTGTCTCCGTACAGCTAGCTGTGGCAGATGTAACCAAACCCTGTGACGCCATGTTGTGCAAATAATATCCGAAGCCAATAACCCAATATACAATTGCTTGCATGCATTTGAAATTCAGAAAATATTTTTTTCAGAACACATTTGAACTATTTTTTCCCTAATTTCAAAATTTCTTGAATCAAGTTATATCTTTCAATGCTTGGAACTGCCATTTAAAATTTGAAAGCATTGTTTAATCGAATAATGCTAGTACATGTAGGTCAAAACCATTTAAATATAGATTTAAGAAAGAGATTTCATATTAATCCAAGTTTAAATACAAGGTATTTATTCCCTTATTTTCCCCTTGAGATCTAACCATTTCTCTTTAGATATGAATTAATGCTAAATATTTTAGTAGTACCAATTTCTCTAGTTTACATAGCATTTTAGCTATGCTAAACAAATTACAGTGGCAGATGGAATTAATTTTTGTGGGGATATCAAACTTACGTAATTAATAAAAAAAATAGAATTTCACGAAAATACCTAAGGTTTCATGCTAAATCAATATAAAAAATATCCTTATCTGCAGTTACTGTTCAATTTATGGAGAGTTACAATAAACATATTTATTAATTATTAACAGCTTCATCCAGAATGGGAAAAAAAGCTGCAATATCGTACTATGTCAATTATTACCTTATTTTTGAGTTCATTTTGCCTCTAGATAAATTGATAAAATAGATATATTCATAGAGACCAAAAAAATGTTATTAAGATTATTTTGATAATCAATCATAAATTATTGAAAAAAATTCATGCATTGTGTTAGGAAAAAAACATCATCTGAATTTCATTAGAAAAAAAAGCCTCACAACATACCAAAAGAAAATTGCATGCACGTAATTAAGTTTCATTTTCATGACTTACGAATTTTTGATAATTCAAGCGACAGTACGAATAGAGCTAGCGTGACTAAATCGGCGTCGGGCGGCTGTTACATTGCTCATGCTGCGAGGAGACGATCGCGGGGAGGATCGGGAGCTGCGTTCACCTTGATGAGGAAGATCGTTGAGAGATCCGATTGGATACGGCATGATTTTGATTGGCACTTTGATGTCCCCGCCCCCTGGCTTATAGTGAATGTTGTCTAGAGAGTGGACCTTGGGGTCACTTTGGTAACGTCTGGGGTCATTGACAATGGATACGTTTCCTCCCGTGGGTTGATATTGAGCATTTTCTAGAGATCCCACTTTGGGGGAGGCGTGCCAGCGTGGGGTTTCGTTAATGATGCTGACTTCACCCCCTCCCGGTCTGTATGTTCTGTTATCCAGGGAGCCAACTTTGGGGGAGGCATTCCATTTGAGTCTATCCTCGTGTATATGGACCTCTCCTCCTCCTGGCTTATAATGAGCATTATCCAATGAACCCACTCTGGGTGAGGCATTCCACTGAGTTCTTTGATTGATGATAGTTTTGTGTCCCCCTCCCGGTTGATATGTTAAATTGTCCAATGAACTGACTTTGGCATGTGCATCCCACACTGGCTTCTCGTCTATAATAGAAACGTTCCCTTGTTTTGGCTGATAATGAGCATTTTCTAGAGATCCAACTTTGGGGCTTGCCCTCCATCTTGGTTTCTCATCCAGAATCTTCACATCTCCCCCTCGAGGTGAATAAGTAAAGTTGTCCATTGATCCAACTTTGGGTGAGGCATTCCAATGCAGTTTTTGCTCAGCTATTTGAACGTTCCCTCCTCCTGGGGTATAATGCTTGTTTTCTAAAGATCCCACTTTTGGTGCAGCTCTCCAATGGAGGGATTCATTTGGGATATGAACATTTCCTCCTCCGGCAGAATAAGTCACATTGTCCAAAGATCCCACTTTGGCGGCTGTCTCCCAGCGAGGAGTTTCATCCAGAATTTTCACATCACCACCCCCAGGTCTATGATGGACATTGTCCAATGATCCAACTTTTGGTCCTGCCTGAATTTTCTTATTCCTGATATGAACATATGCTCCATCTTCAGTTGTCTTTGGTTCCTCCCATCGATTGAGATCACTCGTTCTTTTACGATATATACTTGGAAATTTGATGTACTCAATTCCATCAAAACTTCGGGGTCTTTTTTGACTTCCCCGCAAATGACTGTCATCAAGTGAACCAACCTTAGCTTCAGCTGCCCACTGCAGTTTTCGCTGCTGGATTTCTATGTTACCACCTCCTGGCTTGTGGTGAGAATTTTCTAGAGATCCCACTTTTGGCTGTGCTCTCCAACCTAAATCAATGGCAGGTAGAGCTGGAAAGACATCCCCTGATGGTCCTTGGTTAGCCCTGCGTTTGGTCATCATATCAATGCTTTTCTAAACTGTCCAACCAATAGGAAAAAGTCTTAGAATCTAACACCCACTTATATCATAATGAGTTAACACCATTCATTTCACAGCACTAAGAATCCTGATTCCAAGAAAAAAATGTCCATCTAGGATTGGTATAATAGAGCTGATGTTACTTTTTTTTAAGCACTGGAGGTAATATTTGCAAGGTAAAACAAAACAGAACTCCAAGGCCCTGTCTCTAGGTATCTTTTACATGTGGTAACTAAGGGGGTCTATATAGAAATCAAACACTCCACAGCTCATTCACTGGACATAAAAAGAAAGTTAACCACACTTCAGCTCTCTTCAATGTCTATCAACATAGATCACTCTCGGATTGGGATTACGTCACCAAGTTTGTTTTGGGCAAAAATTTATATTCCAATTACCAGCACATTAAACGTATTTTCTCCCTTTGTTCAATCAATACTACCCTACTATATATTCAAAGCCATTCAGTTCGCAATACACAAGTATTTAAATCAAGCGTAGCATGTTAACCCTTAATGCCTCCGATAAGTTTGTCAAATATTGAACAAGCTTCCTATCCAATTCCTTTGAACATTTGGCAGTAATTCCACGGTAGACAACGGTAGTCCATGAGTGAATTTAAAAATAAAACCAAATCCTTTTTTTTTTTTCATGCAAATGTAACATTCCATAGAAAAAGCACTATTATAAAAGGCACAGATTTAAAGTCAATTAGATTACCCATTCAAAATTTCCAATAAAAGCAATTTTAGTCATATTCACTTGGCAGCACAAAATTCTCTGTTATATCATGTCCAAATTAGGTAGAATGGATCTTTAAAATTATCCTTTCATTCAAACAATTTTTCCCCCCCTTCGAGTTCCGTTATATTTTTCACACATTCGTCAAGTGCACCACCTGTTTCAATATATTGGAGAGTGTGAAACAAATCAGAATTCTGCTGGAATTATTGCAAAGATATTTTATCACCGAAATCAGATTTAAAGCCCATCTACGAAGGGCTATAAATATATCTGAAATAAGCACCTGAAAATCTTCTTGGGTGAAAAGGTACAAAAGGTCCAAATTAGTGCTGACAAAATCTTACACAACTAAAATATAACACCCAGATTAGGATGATGTTAAGATTACCCAATCTTCGCAGGGTATCTAAGGTAATCATAACTGGCACAAACCGTTTATCACTTGTATCATTTTCTGCCCTATTAATTCTACACACACCAACACAATCAAATCCTGATTTGTTTGGCCTATTGAAACACCAGAAGTGTCACAGAGTTTATTTTAATACCACGATACTGAACCATTATTTTATTTGAATGAGTTATTTTTGCTCTGGATAAAGTTATTTCAGTGTGACATTTATATATGTAATATATTAATCTCAGATTTTTTTCAAAGGTGATCTTTATATTTATCTTTTTTTCTTTCTCCTTGATGTATCAATTTCATGGGTAATCTGAATTCTATATTTAAACTTCACAAATGATCGATTGCAAAGGATGACAAAATGTGCAATAATTTACAGTGATATTTTAATATTTAAAATTTGATATGTAAATGTAACTAGATTTCAAAGCAGAAAATCAATAGTATTATCCATATCTAAATTTCAAGGTATGAATTGTAATTTCACTTACGCAGAAAAACCATTTCTGAACCTGAATTACTACTTTAAAACTTGTCTTCAGACATGTTTTATGACTTAGGCTGCAGGGTTTCCATTCATGTAAGTATTTTCCTTTAAATAAAAGGCATTGGCTTTCATTTAACTATTTCACTCACAGGTCCATTAATTCTTAAAGTCAACATTTGGAAAATATCTAATCTTATCCATGTCTGCCAAACAGGTCAAGTTAAAAACTTTTGCTACATTCTAAATTGATTTCACAGAAACACCTAAAATAGTTTATTAAATGTATGTGGGAGTATAGAGTAATTTTCCATATACCACTCAAGTTAAAAAAATTGCAATCAATCAACTCAAAACCCCTTTGGTTCAAATCATATAAAAGCTGAAAATTACCATTTATGAGGACTTTGTTGGGAACTGCAACCATAGTGACATTTGGAAACAGTTTGCTACGGTAATAGTCCTATAGGCTACTAATTCAACCAATTTATAATTCATTGAAAGTGCCATTATTGACAGAGAAGTTGGTGTCCATTTGAATTACATATTTCATTGATTATGTAATGTTAAAAAGAGAATGTTTCTATATATTCGAATTTGATGCAAATTTTATTACCACCATAACTGAGCCATAGGGTTAATACCATAATATGGCTATATAGAACAAGTTCATTTGTCCATAGTTACACTAATTGATACAGTCAATAAATGCAATCTTTATAGGTACATCAGTGTCAAAATCTATAATATGAGAAGTTGGATGAGAATTTTCATTTAAGCATCCCAGTTTGTTTTTCTTTCATTTACAAAACATACAAACAGAATGACTACATGTATATACATTGAAGCATCAAAAAATGAGATAAAAAATCAACCAGAAACTGAGAAATTCATTTCTCATTTTTGCATGGACAAATCATCTTCATGTGAAATGTATATATTTAATCCTCATCCTCCAGAATTCCCTTTGTGTTCAAAAAGATAACCCTATCCCCTTTAAGACCCTTTAATTGCCTGCACTTTCCTAATCTTTCATACACATATAAAATTACAAAACGGAAGTGTAAAGAATTCCCTGGGTACACTAGGTGAATTGCAAACTAACTGACTTGCAGATCTAACCGATCAAACCAGTAGTTTACTTAAACAACCTTATTAAATTGAACCATTACCAAAGATAATCTGCAAGCCAGAATATGCCTGGACAAAAATATATGAATTCATTCAACATTTCTGAAGGGCTTTTTTCCTTTTTAACCAATCTCAAATACACTAAAATGAATGTTTGGTACGTTGCCATAGCAAACTGCTTCCATGTCTACTGACTAACACATCTAAATCTGTATGTTTTACACTCATTAAAGATGATATTACTTGTCGATATTGGTTTTAGGGCATGGATTTAATTACTGTTGTCATTTCTCTCCAAGACTTAATGGCAATGCAAACAACCAACTTGAATTTCTTGATTCTCAAGTCTCATAAAAAAGTTTCGACGAACAGAAAAATATTTCATTTTACGGAGAAGTGAACAAGAGATCTTATATAAGGTTGAATCAATTTTTGCCTTTTTAAAGTGCTTTTGGCACAAAGATTCATAATAGAACTTTCGGGTACATACCAATGACGAGATTATAAAGATAACTGTCGGGGCGAGAGAAAGTTTTAAATGAACACAAAAGTCCTAACGGATAGGATTAAAAAGAATTACAAAGCAAAGAGTTAAGATGTGTCAATAATATAGATCATATTGCGTTTAAAGAGACAATGGTGTATATATTTTTAAAATTTTCTTTAGATAACCACTCATGCCTTAAAATTCCACACTTGTTAAAATCAGTCAGCTAATATGTCACACTTTGGATATACATGTACCACCATTGGTTCTGAATTTTTGTTAAACAAAAGTTTTGTTTCTATGATTAGAATTTTTGAAAATTTTCTTCTTTCAAAAGACTAATTTCTAAAATGATTCATTTTTGAGTTCATCATGAGAATTTCTGCCATTTAAGTCCATCTCAATTCCCTCTTGTAATTTAAAAAAAAGAAAATTATTCTAACTTTTATGATGGTTACATCATTTAAAAAATCTCTTTGACACAGTGTGTAAGTGAATTGCCAATAAGATAAAATATTCTGCACAAGCTAAAGTATTGTTGAGGTCAAAACACAAAAGAAGCTATAGGAAAAGTTAATCAAATGATAAAAGTACAAAAAGGACCAAAGTGACAATGCAACAAATAACTTTTATACATGTATTTATTAAAATAAATATCACAGTTACCTTTCATAACAAATGAACAATGGATGATGTTGGCACAATTTGATGACCTATTCTAATTATCACAACTAGAACAATTTAATAAATAGCAAAATAAATAAAACTTTATAACAGTTTAACAAAATCAATTTGAAAAAGTAGAACTTAAGTTTGCTGTAGCACTATTGATTCTTCACAACAAAGCGATAAAACACAAGAAAGGTCATACATTTATAGAACCCTTTTACTTGTCTTCATATTAAAAAAGTACTTAATTTCGAATACTGTAGACGTACTTTTTTCCGCAGGGTCATAATTCCCCGAAATCTCAATTTCTTTTTAATCCACGGGTAGAAAATTGAGCGGATTTTCTTGACTGTCACTATATGCCTTACATTCATATCAAGTACCCTTGGACAAATCTCCATGGATTATCTATGACTGCGTACATAGCCTAAATTAATACCACACAGAAAAAAGTACTTCTACAGTATTTCTGCAATTAAGGAACAAGATGTAAAACTTCACACATAACTGAAACATATGGAAACTCATATTTGATGCAAAATATAACCAAACCTTTCAAGAAAAGAAAGTCAGCTAGTGTCTAGCAAATTACTACAATTAGCTATATTCCTTGAATCATCGCTTCATCAGTTCCCTAATCCTTGCCTCTATTTCAGCATCTTCATCGTATTCCAGGTCATACGGATCATCATATCTGTGTTTAGTTTTCCAGAGAGCACTAATCTTAGACTCCTTCTTCCAGTTTGGCTTTGAGTTGAAGATCTGGGGATGCTTCGATGGTGGGGAGTACTCAATGTTTTTGAGTGAGCCAATCTTGGCTTTGGCTTTTTGATGGAAGTTTTCACTGAAGTGTGGCACTTTGAAGCTTGATTTCTGAGGTGTATGATCAAAATTCTCCAGGGAACCCACCTTAGGTTTAGATTTCCATTTTGGTTTTAAATCAACAATTTGCACATCTCCACCGCCAGGTTTATGAAAGACTTTCTCCAAAGATCCAATCCTAGATTCCGCTTTGAAGTCATGTGGAAAATGTGGAATCTCCACGTCTCCACCCCCTGGGACATAGTGGATGTTGTCTAGCGAGCCAATCTTTGACCTGGCTGTGGATTTTATGGATCTTGGAGAAGTTTTGGATGTACCTGGAGTGAAATGGGAATTCCCAAATGAACCAACATCCCCACTCCCTCCATACTTAGTTTTGATTGGTGGAAGCTTTAAACTGTGAGTCTCAAATTCACTTATATCTGACCTGTTTCCTACTTCTGAAGCAGGATGACTCCGTGAACGTTGCTTTTTATAGTCAACGTTATCTAATGATCCGACTTTGGCCTCCGCTTCCCAATGAACATGAAAATGGGGTACTTTTTTATTTGAGGGTCTAGGGCTATGCTGTGCATTGTCCAAGGATCCAACTTTCGAAGTAACAGTCTCCATATGATTGTTAATGGGTGGAAGATATGGATAATAATAATTACGATCGAATGACCTCTCCATGGATTTCCCTTTTGATGACCATTTCCAGGGTGGCTTGACATATTTGTATTTAGTTTCTCGATTTAACTTGTCTTCTCTCTCTTCAAGACTTTTCAAGTCGTTAAATTTTTCACCGGAGAAGAACGTATGAACTGGCCGCTGTTCCATCACAACGTAGCGTCCATCTTTTTTCTTGTGAACAGAGACAACGGGAAATCGTCCTCGGGCATTCGCCCGATTTGGCACATACACCACCGTTTTGATCGGCGCTTCCATATCCTCATCCTCGATTTCTTCTCCTATCACATGATGTTTGTGAGCACTAGGCAGACTAGGATAAGGATGTTTGGTCCTATGTTCCATTCGCGGAGAAGGAGTGGTGGCCATATTAACTTCAAAATTGTTTTTTTTTTTTAAACCTTTGTCTCTTGAAATCTCATAAAAATTCAATCCAAATAAAATACACCAACAAAAATTTATCCCATCTTACATTCTTAAATGAATATTCAGTAATACTCCATCGAAAATAAATCAAAATTTCACTTGAGCTTCTATTTCTTTGATGATAGTATGCTAAGCCTTCACTTATGAATGACTTATTTCCTTATCAAAAAGCCATAAAACATTCAATATGCTACAGATTCACAGCTTCAGACACATTTAAAAGTTCACCTTATTGATTTTTTGCTGACATTACACAAGACGTCCTGAAAATATTGATGCCGACTAATGGTTGCTACATGTATATAAGTAATGCTTTGATATATCAAACAATTAAAAAACTTTCTTTTCTGAATATTTAAACCATCAGAAATCATTAACCCTTAAGAGAATCTACAAAATGCATTAAATAAACATATTTGAACTACATTCTATACAAAATTTACCATTCATAAAATGTCTTTTAATGTCCAATTTTCCACAATGTCAATACCATTAGCCAAAAAAAATTAAATTCACTAATTCAATTATGGTGTTTCAAAAACATCAACACTCAACTTATGAAAAATCATGAACAATGAAATAATACTCTCAAATTTGCTCCACTGACCAAATGCAGCAGTAAATGTTCACAATCTAGCTAGGTGAACTTAATTTATATATAGGTCAATACACAATAAATCTTTCTTTTCTAATCCTATTTAATTCTTCCATCCAAATGCCTTAAAACTTTGGATGTGCTTTTACCTAGAAATAGGTGAAATGATTCTAATAAAGTACAAACAGAGGCGATTAAGGTATTAAGCTCATTTGACATGACCTGAACAATCAAATCAAGAGTCTAGCTGCAGATGAGACAATAGGGTATAGTTTTGAAAGACAATGCACACATAAGTTACGCAGCACTTTACTTAAGGCAGTCTGCACCAAGATCCAAAGATTGTCTGCCTTTACTTAAGGCAGTCTGCAGAAGATCCAGAGATTGTCTCCAGGATGAGATAAATTTCATAGCCTTGAAATCCTACGCCCTTGTCTTTAGGGGGTCGTTAATCTGATGTCATTTAAAGCCTCCGTTTCAATAGATCTGTCATGTTTTCAGGGCTGAAATCGGGGACTCTATCATCAACCTGTCATCAGTACTCAGCAAAAAAAAATCTCCACAATCAGTTCCTCAGAAAATGTCAATTAGTCAAAATATATCTAATCACTTGAAAACCATGCACGCTTTATTGAGGAAAAACAGCTGCTTCTCAAGGCACTTTCCTCTTATATGGCCACAGCTTTTCAGAATTTTAATAAGAGTCAAATTTTACAAGGCAATTTAATCCAATTCACAGGGGGATGGATTTATCAGTTCATGTTTAACTCCATATATGTGAAACCCAATCTCATTTTCAATATTTTCTCCCTATTTATCAGTCATAGGAAAAGTGGAAATCTTAGAACTTATCATTTCTGCGTAGCCATTTCCACTATCAGGTATCAATATTTGTATTTCTTTTCAGTCAGTAATGAATGGATAATGCACATACAATGACCACCACCCCAGATCGTACATAAATAAAGTTAACAATGTAATCAAACTCGCCGAAAAGAGAAAACAATAGCTAGTTTTTAAAAGCCGTGTTTTATCAGTCTTTGATAATGCTTCCAAATTTAACGTTATATGCGTAAATTCAATTCTTTCATTAGATGAAAAGGACCATGTTTTTCTTTTGTTAACCTTATGTCACTGATTAATTGTGTATTGAGGTAATCAATGATTTGGAACACAATCATATTGAATTTCACTCAAAAGAATGATTTAAATGTTCTTTTTTTTTTCAAAGACATATGACATACATCAATTTTCATTGCTGGCTGCCTGTAAACCACACATCTTTTTTTTCTTTTCAAAAAGGAGGATCAACATAGAAATAAGACCCATTTTTATTTGAAAACTTTCATTTTTATCACAATGTTTTGTTAAAAGATTTTTATATGTATATAACATATAGCAATTTTCTCAATACCTATATGTGCTGTTTTGTTCAAAAGAAGGATCAACCTAGAAATAAGACCCATTTTTATTTTTAAAAAAACTTTCACGTTTTTATCACAATACAGAAAAATAAATTGTGATTCATCAACAGAAAAACATATCCCCTTTATAAGCACTGGCAAGAGATCACCCAAGTAGTTTTCTACTAATCCCAAAATCTCTCAGAAATCCCAAGGGGATCTGGGTATAAGCCACTAGTGACATATCATCAATATTCCCTCTAAATTAAAAATAAGAACCAAAGACTCTTTCACAAGCAAAAACCTTTGGCAATGAGTGTTTATCTACGTCTTTGAATTAGACAAGACCACTGTCTTTTAAATACACATTATAGAGTCTGCAGATCTACCCTTTGTTTGCTTTGGTCTCTGACCCTTGTTTAATCATTGATTAAACTGCTCCTGCTGTTTTCAAACTTGGAAAATTTTCAGAAAGATCAAGAGAAAGACCAGTTGTAACTAAATGGTCCCACAATTTCCAGAATATGATTGCTTGAATGCATCTACAGTTTCTTTCCTTATGAAGATCATAAAAAATAAGAATTCTTGTATTTCTTAACATTTTTCAATTTTTATTTTGAATTTGATTACCAAGGTAATACCTTCAGCAACACTAAAAGATATAAATTGAATTTTTAATTTCATGATATTTTCAAAAGGAATCATTGTATAAAGAGTACATAGGATTTTGAAATTATGCTAAGTGATTCAATTTCAGTTTGTGAAAAGGAAAAAATTAAACTCGATCAGGATAACTGCATCTCTATGTATATAATCTCCATTGAAAGTATAGCTTTATATCTTTAAAGAACTGATTATAGACATACTGACAGATGAATGATGGACATTCTACCAATGCATTTAAAATCTCCTTTTGTTTCTGACAAGTGGAGTTAATTTTCTCCCCTTCAAATTAAAGGATCAAATTTGACAGCATTCTATATTTAAAAAATGCTTAACTCAAACACTTTAAAAATCTACCAAGGCCAAAAAAAAATCAATACAATATTTAATATTAGTTTTTCCTTTGTATCTGGAAATGGATTACTGACTACAAGTGTCTAGGTCAATGTCTTTTATGTAAGTTTCTCCCCTATGTAAAGTCTTGCTTAAAAGTTAAGCCAAAGAGAAACAACTCTTGATATAAAACTTCAGTCTGAATACTTATGACCATTTTAATCACCTGTTGAGCATAGACAAAGTGATTTAAAGTTTGCAACTATATCTATCTTTTAAATTAAAATAAAAGGGTTCTCATAAATGAGTTCATATTTTTTTTTTTTTTTTTGTTAAATCAAACATCTAGATGACTGGAGTTTCACTACAGTTTCATTACAATACAGGTACAGAGTTACATCAAAATTCCAAAAAAAAATTGACATTCTTGAAGGTGCAAATCTAGCTGTCGTCTGAGGAAGTACAAAACACCATACTTACCTTGATCTTAAATTTGACCTTGACCCAACCTTGACCTACCTTTTTTTCACCACCTCCTGGCTTGTGGTTTGTCTTGGATTCCACTCTAGGCTTGGCTTTATCTTTAAAGTCTAATTTTTGTGTCTCGATCTGTAAAGACATAAAAAAAATACTTCTTCACTGTCAGGCATTTTATAGTGGAAAAATAATTGCAATAATTGTAATCCTTAAATTAATTTATCCTAGACTAGAATTTCTCTTCAATTCATTGTGCCATTTTAGCAATTCCTCTGTTAGCAAAACCCTGTAAATTTAACATTTCAGAAAAAAATATCACACCCTCAGAAATACAATGCATATGTATGTCTAAATATGCTAACAATGCTTTACCTTTTTCTGGCCTCCCCCAGGTTTATGGGACATGTAATCAGTAGATCCAACCTTGGAGTGGGCCTTTACTTCCACTTTGTGACTCTCAATCTATAACGAATTTTATGAAAATATTACAATTATCATCATTTATTACTTCAATATTTTTATCTTTATTTGCCTTTTATCATCTGTGCCTTGGTCATCTGAAATTCTCAAACTGTGTTATTAATATTGCATGTTTAACCTCTATTAAAACAAATTAGACATTGCTGCAATCGTATCATGATCCATGTTTTCTCTCTAATAGTATTGTAAATTTTTAAGGTTTTCAATAATGACTGATTCTGACTTATCTTGTTTCTGTTTATATTTTATGTCATTTTAATGTAGTTAAAATGCACAAAATATACAGTAAAACTTAACAGAAATACAGGGTTCTAGAAAAATCACAACAGAATAAAAATGGAAATTGTCAGTTTTGGAAGAAACAAAAAATTACTGAACGGTCACCCAAAGCTACAAAGTAATAGCACCAATTGCAAGACACCCTTTACACATGAAAATATATCTAGCACATGTATAACAACAATTTAGTAACAACATTAAGACATCTTACGAGTACAAACACATTAGTACACCCCGCCACCTGTACATTTGGAAAATGGTACTTTCTGAGACATTTTGGTTTGTGCAGGAACATGAACTTTGAATTAACAAAATCTTTCCACCATTTGCATAGCTCTCCAGTATCATTTCCAGTTTCTTTCAATACCAATATCTATCTTACTTTAGATTAAATTTTGATGGTCCACGTAACAAGTGAAAATTTTGGAATAATTTTACAGACCACCTCTATTATTGTTATTTGTGCAAATCTAATATGATCTACTTAATCTTAATATAATCTACTTGTCCTTGACAAGACCATGAAGCACAAATTTCATTCATATCACAATGAATTTCTTTCATAAACATCATCATTATATGGATAGGAGTGCATATAATCAATCTCACAGACTCACATCTACTTTACAAAATCAACACAGGGTGATGGGAGGACGAGTTTAGTACAGTAAAACAGACAGACAGACATTCCGTACATGAACGTTACCACCCCCGGGTATATGGTCCATGTTAGCTAATGATCCAACTTTGGACTGAGCATTCCATGCAAGGGAGTCATTCACTATCTGAGTAGGCAGGCAAATGAGAGAGAGAAAAAAAATAAATGAAATAACAAAGAAGCAGCAAAATCAAAATATAACTGCAGTCACAAAGCTTTCAATTGACATTTTCCAGGAATTTTTGCATGCTTTAGTAGGATGAAATGAAGATTAAAATCATTGAGCATGCTTTAAAAGAGTCAAAATGAAATATTGTTAAGCTTATTAGTAAATGATATGAACTCAAATGAGTTAACAGCCTAAAGCATGCCCTCAAAATAATAGATTTTGATATTAAAATTCCTGTTTGTTGGTTATAACATACTGTATCAGTGGAAAATGACTACTGTAATGTGATTACTGATGTGAATAATTACTTTAGGTTAATGAAAATTGTGTATCTGAAAATTAGTGTCAATATTGTTTTAGCTGTATCAAATAGACATGTACTAAAAAACTTCTCTGACTACATTTTTAGAATCATATCATTCTATTAATATTTATACAAAAAAACTGAACCTAAAAAATTCCGAATAAAACAAACTGGCTATGCAGTTTATTCATGTTTATAAGTAAGAACAAAAAAACATGAGTGAACAAAAATGACGGAATGCCATACTTTCACATTACCGCCCCCTGGAACATGACTAGCATTGTCAAGGGATCCGATTTTCGAGGTAGTTTTCCATTCAACTTTCTCATCTACAATCTAAATTGAAAAAAATGAAGCAGAAAAACAATGAATGACCCATTTGAAAAAAATGACAAATGAAAAGCCTTCAAGATTCTACTGTTTCAGTAATTTTCTCTGAAAGCAAATGAAAAGGAAATTTTTTCTGGCAGAATTTCCTCTGTCATGATTTAGTAACATGCAGACAGAGAAAGCAGCAAGTGTTATAACAATGACATTAGTCATTTAACAGTCAAAGCTTTTACTATTTTTTATTTTTATTAACCAATAGAAATGCAAGTATTATAAACCAATGAAAATGCAAGGTGATAGAAAACTGCGTCTTCCCCTTCCTACAAACTGATATTTCTAATCCTTACAAAAATGCATTTTATAAGAGACAAGTGGGGAAGAATTTACATCAAGGAGTGGAACTAATCTTACGGTCACTGCAGTGATCTATTTATGGCAAAGATATTAACTTACTATGCTGCAGTGTTGTCTACGAGATTCAACTTTTATGGATGTTTAACTACACTGATAGTCTGTGGAATATTTCCATGAAAAAAAGATCCACCAGCAGATAAAACTTAATTTATGTCTTAATTAAAGAATAAATTAAAGATAAAGAATTCCTTTGATAGATAAATTAGTCTACCGAAGAGAAGCATTTTGCAATAAATTTGGTTTGGCCATACATTAAATTGGAAAAGCGATAGCATACTTTAACATTACCGCCGCCTGGCGAGTGCTTGGCATTTTCCAAGGAGCCTATTTTGGAATTCGTCTTCCAATCCAATTTCTGCGATAATATCTAAAGAAAAAGAAACAAAAGCAAGCCGTGTGCAAATTAATTAAGCCAAACACAGGCACTGGCAATCATGCTTTTTCTCTGGAACAGAAAATAGTACTCTACCTTTTTCACACCAGTCTGAAAATTCATTTAAAAATATTTCAAAACAGAACAGATATTTGCAGTTTTTATTTTAGTTTATAAGCCATTGAGTGCTCCAGCTCATTTCAGACCAAAAATAGACAAGATCCACTTTAAAAAGTTTTCTCCCTTCACTTCTAATTAGAGATAATCAAATAATTTAATATAATCAATTTGCATGGGAAAATGGAGCTTTCCCATCCATTAGATTAAAATTACAGCATTGATGCAAAAAATATAGTTTTTGCTTGACAATTTCTGCAGAAAATCCATATCCTAATAAAAGCCAACTTGAACATTGGACTCTGACATTTCACGAGATGTGTACTAAGCATTAGTATCAGCGTGAGTGAGTTACCTTTTTCTCGCCGCCTCCTGGCCTGTGGTCCATATTTGCTGTGGAGCCTACTTTACTTGTCACAGTGGAATAATCTTTCTTTTTACTGGCAATCTTCACCTGTAAAAAAAATCAACAAATGCATAAGGGATGCAGAATTTGATTTAGCTGACCTGAAGCAGAAAACAAGACACATTCAGTTTCAAATATGAGTCTGAGACTTGATTAAAATACTTCAGCAAACAGAAATGCAATGCCCATGGGCCACAATGTTCACCTGAGTCATCATTCTCTTTTAGTAAAATTAATCTATAACCTGGCTAAAAGATCAAACCTCTTATCACTTAAATTTGAATCCAGTATTTCAATTTGACTTTAGAGTTTATTATAAGGCATAATGTCAACTTCACAAATTGTGGATTTCTGTTTTCTGTAAGATTGCATGAGTAAAGGAAAAAATTTAATTAAAAGATGCATCAATGCTGGTCATATCTATTACTCCCCTTCATCATGTTTCCTTTTTTTTTTTTTTACCCCAGAAGCAGCACTACTCACTTGCCCCCCTCCTGGGGTATAACTGGCGTTCTGAAGAGAACCAATCTTTGATGTCACATTCTTCACGTTAGGGGCTGGTCCTTTAGGAGTGGTAGGTTTAGGTCTCGCTGAAAAACCAAATTTCATTTACAGCTAACACTCGAATATCAAAATAAAGGGCAGATTCTTTGAGAAATCTTTTGGTTTTGCAAAGGGAATTACTTAATCATTAAGACCCAAATTCTTTAATTATCATTGGCAAATCAGCTTGTTGAACTGCCATGTTGTATACACATGTACAATATGTGAAAAAATAATAAAATTCACTGCATTTGAAGACATGTGCAAAACTCAGAAAAGAAATAAGTAAATTTACTTAATGTACAGTTTTCTACACTGCATTTAACATGAATTCTTACGAGATTCCTTTCTAGGTGAAGTACTAGATCCTGGTGGAGTTTTGGCGCTAGCGTTGACTTTCGACGTGGCCTTGACCTGTACTTTCTGGTCGAAGATCTTGACCTGACCGCCCCCGGGTTTGTAGGACATATTCTTGGAGTCTATGCCATACTTCTTCTTTGAGGAGGCTGATGGAGTCTGAAAATTAAGGGTATCATCTGTTAGTTTTTAATTTTTTTTTTTCAAAATCAAAGTGACCATTCTGCACAGATATCTTGATAAACATCCAATGAAAACATAAAATAAATCTTTATGTTTCTGGGGGGGGGGGGGTAGAAAAATTCTCTTTCAGAAATTTCTGAGGGTCAAACAATTAAAATCATCCTAAACAAAGTCATATTAATTATGTTTTCAAATCTATTTAATATTACTTCTTTCAAAACAGTACAGACAAAATTCTATATTGTGTATCTATATATGCATGTCATAAAAAACCTGTTATTGGGAAGAATACTAGTATAGAATTCAAATTTTATTCAATACCTTTTACAGTCACGATTTAACTCTTGATCTTAGCAACCTTTGGGTCAAGCTATTGTACTTTCTAAATAGCATTGCTAAACAACTTGTCAAAAATATCTTCACTCAGGATCATACCCCTCTGATCACAAGCTAAAAATGAGCTTCCAACATTACAAATCTATAGCCCCCAAAACAAAGAAAGATGAATGGTTTTACAAGGGTTTTGACCAACAGGTATGTTGATTGCTTTACACCTTGAACTTGGAATGGAAAGGGTAAAATCCTTAATTTATTTCACTTCATTGAAAATAATCAAATGCTTTCTTATCCAGCATCTAGTGATTTGCACTCAATCATAAACTTATTTTATATTCCCTCAGAGAAACCCCTCAAGTTGTCAGTGTTTGTGTGAAACAGGTAGGTCAAGATACCAAGTGATTTTTACTGCTATCAAAAAGGTGTCATAAAAACTGTCTCTTTGATATTGTAAAATGTCAAATGCTCTCTAATGGATTGATATCAAAAGCCATGCATTCATAACAATGTTAACATAAACGTTTTTTGAAAAAAAACCTTTTGTATGAGTACATCCTATTCTGGTAACAGGAAATGTACACATGGTAGAGTAATGTTTTCTATGTTACACATAATGAAAATACATGTACAAATCTTAAGTACATGCATCAAGATGTATATTAAGATGCGCATCATCATCAGAGTCTGATGTTAGCCTAGTGATAGGGTGTAATGGTAGCCTAGTGATAGGGTGTAATGGTAGCCTAGCGGTAGGGTGTAATGGTAGCCTAGTGATAGGGTGTAATGGTAGCCTAGTGGTAAGGGTGTAATGGTAGCCCAGTGGTAAGGGTGTAGTGGTAGCCTAGTGGTAAGGGTGTAATGGTAGCCTAGTGGTAAGGGTGTAATGGTAGCCTAGTGGTAAGGGTGTAATGGTAGCCTAGTGGTAAGGGTGTAATAGTAGCCTAGTGGTAAGGGTGTAATAGTAGCCTAGAGGTAGGGTGTAATGGTGGCCTAGTGGTAGGGTGTAATGGTGGCCTAGTGGTAGGGTGTAATGGTGGCCTAGTGGTAGGGTGTAATGGTGGCCTAGTGGTAGGGTGTAATGGTGGCCTAGTGGTAGGGTGTAATGGTGGCCTAGTGGTAGGGTGTAATGGTAGCCTAGTGGTAAGGGTGTAATGGTAGCCTAGTGGTAGGGTGTTTACTCTGTGATTAAAAGTGAGCCTAGTTTGATTCTCATTCTCTTAGTCATGTCAAAACCTAAGATATAAACACAAATAGTGACTGTTTCATTGCCCAATGTTCATCATCAGGGGTCTTTTGCACAAGACCTGAAAAACCAAGGTCCTACATCATAGTAGCATGACTAAAGAACCCTCGCTGCATAATGGTCCTTAGTGTCAATTTTTAGGTTTCAATTCGAAGCCTTTTATCTGCATATGGTGATGTCTCTTTTTTATGAGTAATGAATTCTCAATTATGATGTTAAATAACAATCAATCAATCTATACAAAAAGTGTATTTTTTGCTACAGAATTTAATGTATTAAATAACCTTTGTCAACAAAATTTTAGTGGAAAACAGTACTGTAAGAAATCTTTTACAGCAGCTTCAGTGATAATTAACTTTTAAGTGTCATAAAACTAAATTATATTTCTCCCCACACAAACTCAAACACTAAAAGTATAAATTTAGAAGAGATAGCCCCCCCCCCCCAAAAAAAAATAAGTAAAATTTAGTGAAGAAAGAAGATATAATTGTCAATTTTTACCTGTTGGCTCATTTTCTGAATATCCAGCAGAAAAATCAATTAAGTGTTGACCACTTCACTTAAAAGTCACATAGCTTTGATATACACAACTTTGTAACTGATGGAAAGCAAATACAAATATTGTGTGGCAAGACACTTGAGAAAATCCTCATTATAAACTGTCAACAATACCTACAGGTAAACAATGCCCGCTTACTGATGAAACTTACTGTAAATAACCGTACATACCCTAATAAAATTCACTTCTATAAAAACATAGAAAAATTTAAAGATTTTCAATATAGTCTGACTTTCCAAAACATAAAATTTCACAAATATTCCAAAAGATTCAGATATATCAATATACCAATACCAACAGAAAGTACACCAATCTCCTAATAATTAAGATTATTTTGAATTTCCAACATTACAAGATGCTGATCTATTTCAGCCAAAACCACTTGGTCAGTGCATCCCCTCCTTGAAGGTCATTTCTTCTGGCTCTCACCCCAAAACAAAACCACTGACAAAAATACCTGTTAATTAATTGCTGGCTACAGCGCCAGTAGGTACATGTTTTGATTATGAATGTCAGAGTGTATTACTCTGTTTCTCATTGATTTCCTTTACTCCCCCCTCTCTCTCTCTCTCTTTCTCTCTCTATCTTTCCCAAGGCATAATTTTTAATCAGCTGTTTACAGTACAGATTCTGATTTTCCCTCTTGTATCATATGTACAATCAATACCAAATTACAGTCTAAATTGATGTAACTACATTCCAGTCTTTGACTAGTGAGGCTTACACAATAACTAAACAAGTCTGTAATTGTTAATAGCCATTCTCTGTAACCACTTAAACTTCGTTGCCACGCATGGTCACCGATTTTGATGAAACTTCACCCATGCTTAGTACTTGACACCAGAAACAAATATCAAACAAAATTTCGTTGCTATGTGTCTCGGTTGCTATGGCAACAGCCGGAAAAGTCTGGAAAAATCGAGATTTTCAGCCACTTTAAATCTTGACTGTGGCTTAATAAAAACTAGAAAAAGCAAACAAGTCATTCTCACAAAAACATGACACCTTGATGTCATTTATACTGTAAAGAAAATGTTTAGAATATATCTCTAAGTAAGTGGTAACCAAGGATACATTTGGAATACATTTAAAATGCTGAAATATGCTGAAAAACACTCCATAATCACTAATGGTAGGTGTTACATGCTCAAACTCAATCAACGACTTAAGAAAAACAATGAAAATGTTTAACCATAAGTATATAAGTATAAGCAACATTATTCTACAAATAACTTTTATGGTTGCCATGGTAACACAGTGTTACCATGCAAAACAAGTAACTAAGTTTGGGTTAATGCTACTGTCTTGAGGAAAAACATGAAAATTCAAGACTGGCTAATATGCATCCTCAGGACCTTAAAACACCAAAACCATAAGAAAAATTGGGTATAATTGCTACTTTGCAGTGTTACCATGGAAACAAAGTACCAGTGCTTAAACGTGAATTATTTTTCGCTGCATTAAGAATTAAATTGCCATATAAACAAGAAAAAAATTAAATGATCAGCTTGAATCATATTTATCTGTTAGAACTGAAGTTGAATATCATATATTGATAAAATTTGATGAAGAAAACAACACTGTTGCTATGGTTACCAAGAAGGGAAAATGTTCGATTTTGTGAACTTTATATTAATATTAAACCCTGTGTGCCAACTTCTTGCATCCACTTAGAGATTGGATGATAGTCAAAATTAAAAGTCAGGTAAGCTGTTAATAAATATCAATCATAAAAGTTTTGGGAATCTACATTTAAGGGTACGTATCCAAGGACAGAAAATATTTTTCAGGTTTTTAAGCATATATTTTCTGCTTATTTCCATAGCAACGCTCTATTTAAAGAATCTAAACTGAATTTTTTCAAATGGGAAAACTAGGAGCACACCAACATCTTCAAAAATTGATCATCAGTTATGAGGAAATGTGCTTTTTTAAAAGATAGGATCAGATTGAAACATACAGAGTGTTACTTTGAAGGCTCTCTGTGGTATAAAAACCTTGGCAACCATTGCCAACCAAAATGAAATGTCATATTTTGTTCTTGGTATATGTTTCAAGGCTCTTTTTTCTATTATTTGGTCACATTTCATCCTATAATTGCTTTTTATTTTTACGTGTATGACTTTATAAAATTCAATGAATTTTTTTTTTACTTTTGAATAGTTTGTTACCATAGTAACGTATGTAATAGTTAATTTACCAAACATGTTTATCATGCATTTGAGACATCTGACCTTCAACTTTTGGAAACAGTCATTGCCAATTGTTTGCTTTGCCGCTAATGTTAACTATGGGGCTCTAAACATGTTAAAAAATGCCATTTTTCGAACTTTAAGACATGTTGCCATGGTAACTATAAAACATAGCAACCAATTTTTGCCTGATTTCAGTTTAGGGTATCAAAGACTTTTATCACAGAGAGTTTGGAGAAATTCTGAGACTATGCGTGCCACAGCTCCTATATAAAAGTTCAAGTCATTACAGAGAATGGCTCTTAACTCTTTCATCCTACAATTCAGTGAATCCTACTTTTTTTTTGCCTGTTTTGCCTTTGTGCAAACAATTTCTCTATTTGCACAAAATATTTCTTACAGCATTTTTTCTTTTTTTGTTGTTGTTGTATCTGTCAACTGATCATCTGTGGAAAATAATTCATAATTGAAGCAAATATTCTTTCTATTTTGATGAACTCTATGTAGGTCAAGGGGGTAATTATTACATAGAGAGAACTCCCTGTTTTGGCAAACGGCCATTATACAACCCTGCATGCTCATTTATAGGATGGACTTATGTAAGTCAAAATTGTAAGAGGAAAGTTAAGTATATTATTCCCCTTCCTGTCATTTGGGGGGTGGGGGTGGGTAAATTGTTCTTCCATTAGTTCCTTAATCATTAAAAAATTAATTAACTTTTGGTCAAAAGACAAAACTGCAAGAAATCTATTAAAAAAAACATCAATTTCAGTTTGTATGAAAATTATGTGTCTAAAATCATTTATTAGGGTATATAAGGTATTCTAATTCTTCCCAGATGGCTGTAGAATAGGAATGACAGTTGACAAGGTAACCAGATGACACGATAGATGAAAATTAAATAGACAATTTAAACCACCTACTTCACTTATTTACAATCTCTACTAACAGTCAGAAACAGGATATCAACCCATGTACCCAGGGAAATGATTTGATATGAAGTTACTCATGAAATATTCATGTCTGTAACTAAAAAGATTTTTATAGTAAACTTTGTCGTTTCTTTTAAAATTAATGGAATCAATATATCATGAAAAAAGAAATTTTTGTCATTAAACTTTGCAATTTTAAGTTAACAAAATTCCTCTTCCTGTTTTATCAGAGATCAATATAATGCATAAGATTTCAATCGATAAGTCAGGGTGATATGTTTTGCATGGTATGATGTCTTTTTTGACCAATAATGAGAAAAATAAGTAAAATTCCTGTGAAATAAATACCAACAATTGAAATGATATTCAAAACATAACACCTTGGAATGCTGTTGGTGACATAAATGTATATTCATTACTGACATCTTGTTGACAGATGTCATAGTGTGTGTACAACTGGGGAGGGTGTGTGTGTATTGACAACAGCTTGCTTACTATGATATGACCTACCCTTTTTCCTGCCTTTTCCTCATCTGTACCACTTGCGGGTGAAGTTATACCATTAGCAGCTGGGGCATCTACAACATCAATGATACAACAATTTAGTCTCAATTTATACAGTAAACATGGTAAAGAACAATCAATCTTAACATTCTTATTCATTAGTTCCATTTATAAATGATAACATTGCCCATTATATGTATATATATTTTTACTTAAATTATCTCCTATTTTCCTTTTCTTCTTTTCTTAATCTCAAAAAAATTGTCACTTTATCAAAACAATGAAAATGTTCAGCAATGTTTGATATCAAATTGAATAATTGGCTGAAGAAGCAAATTCAAAACAAATTCTGGCCATGCCATGCATCCAAACTAAATTGAAAATCTAAATCTGGGAAGGATCAAAAGAGGATGCAAAGGAACAAAATCTACAATGCAAAAATGAAACGGGAAAAAGGTGACCATGCTCATTTCTGCTTGCTTAAATTGCAATAAATTTAAGATTAAAATTATTGCAGCAAGACTATATCTACATGCAAATCAGTGATAATCTACAGATGTGTTTAATGTATGAACAGATTTTGCTAAATGGAAAAACCAAGTTCATGTGTACAGTGTATTTTGCAAACATAATGTAAGATTTGTTTGAAATATTTGGAAAAAAGACAGAAATGAGATATTTAGTTTAAATTAAACCTTTGTGCAATGATTGAAAATAAAAATGTTAATTTTGTGAAATCTAGTACAAACAAAAAAGTGTATCTCATTTTTAATAGTTAAACAAAACACTTCTACAAGATAAGTTTGTTCCATACTGTATAGGAAGAAATGAAGTTAAATTAAAGCAAGTTGATTACATGTTTTAAATTAGGAATTTTAGGAAAAACTGGAACAGGAAGAGCAGAACTCCAGTAATGTATGAACTCTAAAAAAACTATTATTTTTTTTTTCTATCAAACCAAACATACCATAAAATTATGAATAAATGACTTGTCAACTGAAAGAAAAGAATTTAAAAAAATATCAAAAGCATTCACAAAGAATTTACTACACTATAAAAACACAAGGCACAAGATTGCAATATCTCTCATCTGAAGTCAATAGGAGTTACCTCCCTTAGAATGAACTCTTCATCATGCAGAACAAAAAGCCAAAGCAGCTGCACGAAGCAATCCAACAAAATATGCACAAAGAAAAAATGTATTCTACTGAGTTTTCTAATATCTACATGCTTTTATCTGACAGCATTAATTTATTAATTAATTTACATAATTAATGATGTTAGATATTGCGACCTTTTTTTTAAATTCAACATACCACATACTCTATCAAAGGCACCATTGTCAATTGTCAAACTTATCACATTAAAAATATGCAGGCAAAATGAAAGAAAAAAAATATCTAAAAAAAAAGAAAATAAAGCATTACATTTTACAAGACAGTTCAAACAGGGAGAAATCCATTCAACTGTCCTATAAAACATGGGCCATAATGCACAGTCCAGTCTTTTTTTTTATGTGGATGAATATAAGCAGTAAGGGTGATTTTTTTTGAGTGCTAGCCAGACCACAAGCTTACAAAATATAAACCTTTTCTGGGCTGGAGAAGTCTGGTGGGTCTTGCGTTCCTTGTGGTAGTGGTTGCTTGGCCTCGCATTGGACTCGGGCTGAGTTTCCTATGAGCCCCAGGCCTAGGAGTGGACTTGGAACGTGAAATTAATGATTCCTTAACGTCTGGCGTGGACACATCCTTGGGTTTTCGTGGTACCCTAGCCTGACGAGTTGCAGACTGACTCCGCCTTGTGACATCTCCCTTCTCGGGAGATGGAAGTTTGGAGTCGGTCTGTTTAAGTAGCTCAGATCTTTTCACAGTTTTACGAGCTAGACTAGCACTTGTATCCTGGGTTAGACGACTAGTGATATGACTATATTTATTGTCCTTAACAGGTGCTTTTTCAGTCTCTGTTTTAGCACTTGTTGGTTTACTTTCAACTTTTGCAGGGGCTTTTGCTTTGGGTTTTGGCTTTTCTTTTTTCTCTTTGACTTCCTTTTTAATGTCTTTACTTACTGAGACATTCTTTTTATCCTTTTCAGTTTTGGTAACTTGTTTAGGCTCCTTCAACACCTTCTCTTTCTTTTTAACCTCATCTGTTTTGACTATCAGTTCTGCTTTCTCCTCTTTCTCTGGGGCTGTTTCTTTCTCTACAGCCACCTCCTTCGGCTTTTCTTCAGCCACTTCAGCCTTTTCTGGTGGAGGCTCAGCAACAGGACTTTCTTCAGATTTTTCAACTGAAGGTTCTTCAACAGCACTCTCCTCTGTTCTCTCTGTAGATGGCTCTTCAGTTGAAATGTCTGGAATACACTCTTCCACTGCAGACTCTTCCACTGCAGTCTCTGTTTTTTCTATGGAAGGTTCTACACTAGATGCATCCTCTACACTCTCTAGAATTTGCTCTGATTTTTCTGGAACACTGTCTTCGAAACCACTTTCAGTTTTCTCAGTATATGATTCTTCAACTGAGATATCCTCTGTTCTCTGCATGCTTTCAACTGTATCAATAGCATCATTTAGAACATTTTCCACCATGTTCTGTGCCGTCTGCCTCTGTAGCCTTGTTTCCTCATCCATGTATCCTATACTTGTGCTTCTCAATGACTCCTCTGTCTGAGACTCAGTATAGCTTTCAGTAAGGGACTCGTCCACAACATTTGCTCCTGAAGTTTCAGAAGTTTGCTCCTCCTCATATGGTTCAGATTCCTCCTCCCTGTATTTAGCCTCTTGCTCCTCCAACATAGATTTCGATATGGTGTCTTCAGGAAACCTGTCCTCCAATTTTTCATCCTCATCAAGAACTATGGATCCCTCCATCATGGATCCAGTCATGACATTCATTTTCTGGGAGGCTTGACTGTCTTCTGATGTATTTGTATCTTCCATTGTTGATCCGGAGTGTTCAGCTGGGATTTCTTGATTTTCGAAAGTTTCTCCTTCACCCATAACAATGGAATCTTCCATCATAGACCTTGACATGGCATCCTGTTGCTGTGGCAAATCATCAATGGTCTGACCTTCATCCATTATCAAAGAACCTTCCATTGCAGACCCTGCCTGCTCTGTGGGAAGATCCTCAACAGTTTGGCCTTTATCCATTACGAAAGAACCTTCCATGACTGAAGTATGTTCAGCTGGAAGATCATCTATTGTCTGTCCTTCATCCATTATCAGTGATCCTTCCATTGCATTGCCACTCATAGGGGGTGCAATTTCATCTTCAGGACTCTCTTCAAACTGAGCTTCTTCTGCTGGCTTGGCATCCTCAATTGTTTCTCCTTCTTCTAATATTAGAGAACCCTCCATCATGGCCTTACTTGATTCTGTAAGAGCATGATCTTCAACTGTCTGCCCTTCATCTAATATAAGAGAACCTTCCATTGCACTACCACTCATAGAGGGTGCAGTTTCTTTTTCAGGACTCTCTTCAAACTTAGCTTCTTCTGCAGGCTTGGCATCTTCAATTGTTTCTCCTTCGTCTAATATTAGAGAACCCTCCATCATGGCCTTACTTGATTCTGTAAGAACATGTTCTTCAACTGTCTGCCCCTCCTCCAGGACCATTGATCCTGTCATGGCATCAGGTGGGGGTGCAGAAATTTCTGGTTCATCCACTTTAATCTCCAACTGCTCATCTTCTGCCTCAACTAAGGGTTCTTTGTTGTGGAACAAGGGATCACAGACTTCTTGGGGCACCTCACTCCTTGGTGAAGCCATTTTAATCATCTGGTCAGGATCTGGGGTGATGGACCTTTCTTCCATGTCTGATCCCTCACTCTCAATGAATGTATCAGCTTTATGTGGCTGCTCTTCAGGTGGCTCTTGATCAAGTTCTTCAAAGTCAGGTGGTTTATCCACAATTATAGTACCTTCTATTCTAGATGCAATTTCTTCTTCAGAAATATCTATTTGATCACTTTGTTGTGGTATTTCCATTTGTCTCTCGTTTGTATCAAAGCCCATGTTTTCCATTTTATTCATTTGCACTTCACTCTCTTGTTGTTCTATAAAGTCCTCAACATCTTGTTGATCATATTCCTCTCTCTCCATATCTTGCTCTCTTTCATCGGGATAATAGTCATCTTTTGGTTCCCCATTGTCACCATTGCTGAAATTGCTTTCCTCCTCATCCATCCTATCATCTCCCATCTCTGCATACTGAGACCCAAACTCACTCACATTACTCTGGATTTCTATCTCACCCTCCTCACTCTCACCCATATCAAGCAATTTTGGAGTTTCAACAGGGATTTCTGCAGGAGGTTCCTGCATGGTGGTTAGAATCACATCTGGAACCTGACTTTTGCTTTCCTCTACTTCTGGAGGTTTATCTTCCACTGTAATTTCATCCACATCCACTTCCTCTTGTGTTATTTCATCATTTTCAATGTATTTTTCATTCTCATCTTCCTTGAATTCTGAAAGTCTTTCTCCAGTTTTGACATCTTCCTGATCATAAACAGTATCTTTAATAACATGATGCTCATCAGCACTAGGTGGGGGAATAACATTTTGAATGTCTCTCTCTTCACTAATTTCTCTCTCAGCCTCAAAGCTCTCTTGTTCCTCATAAGTATATTGATCCTCCTTTTCATTGTTTTGAATGTCCTGCTCCTTCACATCACTTTCACTCAAACCAAACTCCTTAACAGATTCATCCCCTTGAAGTTTATCATCAACTACAAAGGCCTCTCTTTTACCTGCATCTCTTTCATCTGAACCAACCTCTCTCTCCTCTTTCATTCTCATCTCAACCTCATCCAGTGGAACTTCCTCTCTCTCCTCACTCACTCTCTGATCTTCATGGCCATTGTCTGCCTCATTTGCCTCACTCAGCTTTTCATCCCTTTTCTCCTCAGTGGTGACATCTGATTCTGTCATATGAGAAACTTTCTGTGTATCTGCCACTTGTGTGACTTCTGTTTGGGTTGTAGGTGCTGTTTGAGCAGCAACATTCTCCATGTCTTCTGACACTTGTTGCTCTTCACTCGATCTTGCCTCTCCATCATAGTCTGAGGCTACCTCTCGCTCCTCACTTGCCCTGTAGCTGTCAGGACCATCATATTCCTCATCATCAGTATAATCTTCCTCATCTGAATAGACAACACCCTCTTCATCATCCTGTCCTTCTTGATATTCCATTTGTTCTCCACCTTCTTCCTCACCATATGAACCATCAGAACCATCATCATAGTATTCCTCACCATCTTCTCCACCATACTCTTCCTCCTCAGTTTGTTGTTGAGGCTGAGGGGCACCATGTTGCTCCTCTTTGACTTCCTCCTCCTCTTCTGAGACCTCTGGTTCAGGTTCCTCAACACATGAACACACTCCTGGTACAATTTGTTCATCGAAAGAATTTCTCTCATGGGATGAGACATGCTGATATGCACTTTGATCCTCCTGGGACGTAGGCACAGATTCCTCCTCTTGAGCAAGATTTGATTCTCTCATATCATGAGGAACATTAGAAAGACTAGGGTTCATATTTTGTGAATGGGCAAACTCATCCACATTTTGCGAAAGACTTTTTTCTGGTTCATTATCACATTGACATTCCATTTCAGAAGCACCTTGATCTTGGTCAAAATTATCCATTGAGCCTTCAACACTAACACCCATACCTTGCGGTAAAGATTGCCTTCCTTCAGAGGAGGGTAAATCTGTGTGTCCAACATCCATTGAAAATGGGTCTATATGCCCTTCACCTTCAAAATGAGATCAATTTCATGAAAACATGTCACAGGTCTACATTAAAAACATGGATTTGTACAATTATACAACCATCCACTTCATCAAAAGATATAAATTTTATATAAATTATTCATACCTTTGGAAGGAGGAGCAGGTGATGATGCCTGGTCTTTTCCACTAAAATCTATTAACACTCCATCATTTGCTGGAGGTTGTGGGTCAGGGGCAGCGGCCATGTTTTCACCAGAGGGCACTGTCTGGTCACTTGTTTCCAAACCTAATAAATCACTATGTTGACCTGAAGGTTCAAAGGGACTAGCATTGGGGTCTAATCCTGAGGCAGCTTTGCCTGCAGGGACAGGTTGAAACTGAGCCTCAAAGTCATCCATTTTCTGTGGTGAATTCATTCCATCGCCATTCATATATTCCACTCCATTAGTTTGTTTTACACCTGCAGGGAGAAAGAAATTGTAAATCAATAACAATACATTTAAAGAAAGCAGATGAAATAACAGGTTCAAATGCAATTTCCATAAGTTACAAGCAAATTCAATAAGTTAATGTCTGCTAGTTAAGCTGTGTAGTAGATAAATGTTTCAATGTCTACCCATTGATAAAAATTCCAACAATATGAAATAATCAACTTGAAAATCAATAACATATAAAATCGTTTTTTTCAAAGTCTTAAAGATATTATATCATGCCAAAATATTGATTAGTATCTTTGACACGTCACACTGAAAATCCCAGTATATATTTTTTTTTAAATGAAATGGCATTTTGTTTGATAATTCTGAAATTGTCCTTCATTTGTGTAAGGGAGAAGCACAGCACCACACAGTATGCAGTACATATAAATTGATAAATAGCACCTTTAGCTGTATAAAAAACATAGGTAATCAGAGATTACAGAGCTCACCTCAACGAATGTTGTCTTTAAGTAAGGCAAAGTCACACAATTAACCATGTACATTCCAAAGATGAAAATATTTAAGCAATTTTAATCTGAATTTGAAATAGAACAACATAAAAAATTTAAACTAGTTCTTCTTCATGAAAATGTAATTAAAATCCAGCATCTGAAGCAAATTTGAGAGTTTTCATCTCTTGATGCAACATTTGTGCAAGTTTGGTTTATACAATGTTATATAAGCCTTATAGTTTTTTGGTAATAGACCTGCACCCATAACTTTTACCTGGTCTATTATCTGAAAATATATGTCGAATTCAGCATCTGAAGCAAGTCCATTAGTGTGCATCCTAAGATGTATCATCCATGCAAGTTTGCTCATTAAAGGGCTCATAGTTAATTGGAAATGAAACATGCATCAAAAACTAACATTTTCATTCAGCAACAAAAAGTAGGTCAGATTCAGCATCCGAAGCAAGCCCAGTAGTATGCATTTATATGCATCATCCAAGCAAGTTTGGTCATTAAAGAACTCATAGTTACTTGGAAATGAATCATGCACCAAAATCTTTAACCTATTCACTCAACTGGAAAATGTAGGTCAGATATTGTTTAGTATATACATCAATATATGTATAATCCATGCTAGTTTAGCCAACATAGGGCTTATAGTTACTTGGAAATGAAACCTGCACCAAAAACTTTAACCTGTTCACTCAACCAGAAAATATAGCACCTGAAGCAAGCCCTTGCATCCTTTATCATGCAAATAGGGCTTACAGTTACTTGGAAATGAAACCTACACCAAAAACTTTAACCTGTTCACTCAACCAGAAAATGTAGGTCAGATTCAGCATCCAAAGCAAGCCCAGTAGTATGCATCCTTAGATGTATCATCCATGCAAGTTGGGTCAAGACAGGGCTTATAGTTACTTAGAAATGAAACCTGCACTAAAAATTTAACCTGTTCACTCAACTGGAAAATGTAGGTCAGATTCACACACAGTATGCATCCGTAGATGTATCATCCATGCAAGTTTGGTCAACATAGGGTTTATAGTTACTTGGAAATGAAACCTGCACCAAAAACTTTAACCTGTTCACTCAACCGTTTAGGTCAAAAGCCTGGTAATAAATCCATGCAAGTTTGGTCAATATAGGTCTTATAGTTCCTTGGAAATGAAACCTACACCAAAAACTGCACCAAAAATGTAAACCTGCTCCAAAAACATTAACCTGGACATTCCTTTGCTGAAATTGCAGCATCTGAAACTTTGACTGGTACAATGAAACACACTAGAACCATCTTCCATGCATGTCTAATCAATATAGGACATAGAAGTTCTTAAAAAGAAAACTGCTCCAAAAAACTTAACCTTAACCTGGGATGCCGACGCCGACACCGACGCCGACACCGACGACGACGCCGACACCGACGCCGAGGGTATTACATAAGCTCCCCCAACTTCGTTGAGGTGAGCTAATAAAATGAATAAGACCAATTACAGGTATGAGTGTCTGGACAAGTCATTGACCAGCAGCTAACATCAAGATTCTAGCGATTCCATTAAATTGGGATCTAAACAAGTCCAATCTAGCAATAAGACACTGGGAAATGATACTGCAAGCAGGAAAGGCCAGTAGTAATGAAAAATCTCCACTTCATTTGATCGGACATCTAAAGGTTCAAATTGTGGTCAGAAAATTTGTTGTTATTGGGAATTACAAATGATTCCAATAAACTAATACATGCAATTACCAGATGAACTATCCAATTCACCAATGACATCTGTAATTGTTCAGGCTAAAAACACAAATGAAAGCAAATCTCTCTTTGAAATCCCTCTTGACACAAAATGGTGTAGATCGTGTTTTTGTAACAGACTCTGAAACACCATCTAGTCATGCAGGGTCAAATTTACTTCTGTAATTACATGTATTGCAAATAATTGTCATCCACATACCTTGTCAATCCATATTTTTTCGTCTTTTTTTTTTTTTCAACTGATCAGTCAAATCAATACTTGCCCATTTCCATTTCTCATATACACAAACAAAAGTCAATACCAATAACATTATCTTTACACATATACTCAGATTCTTATGAGCAAAATTATGGATATATATTTAGCAGGAAGGGAAGTAAAACCATCCAATATAAACCCTAATTGATTCTGGCACCAGTTTTACGATGAGACTGACTCGAATCAATATAGTAATGTTGCAAATCATTGACCAAAAAAGTGTCCTGAAGGAATTGTGGGAAACAAAACATGCTTCATGTAGCCTGCAAATTGTAAATGAAAGTTCTCACCTCTGAGAAAATTGCAATTTTCACCATAAAAAAGCTCATTTTTTTGCTTGACATTATTGAATTTTTGCCTAATATTGAAGAAGGAATATCAAGGAGCATCTTATTGGTACAAATCCCCTAACAAGTATTGGTAACTGGAAACTTTTATTGTTTCCACGACCACGGAAAATACATGTACTTGATCCACTTTCTTCTCTTTATACCAGGTATATATTTTTCTTTTTAAGCCCATATGAAATTTTGTTCTTTGATGTCGAGAAAATGTCATCCTTTGATAGTTTTATAAAAAAGGTCATCTTTTGAAATACTACAATTTTTTACCACTGCCTTATATTATGTGCCCTTGTGACACTAAATTGACCTTTGCCCTCAACGTATGACCTTAATCCTTGACCTAACTTGAGCCCTCATTCATTTTTGATCATGGATGATGACTAAAGCTAATAACAAGCATGTAGACAACAGAGACCTACCAGTATAACAAAATGATTTTCAATCACTAACGTTTCTCATACAAATGCTGCATTGCATGAATATTATTTTAAGGTTATGATCAATAGGTATCTATCAATCTCTTAAGAATACTTTCAGGTATCAATTTTCACAAAGCTGACTGTACAACTTTTACAGAATCTTCTATTCCAGTGGGATGATGCAGTATTACATGACCAGTTTGAGACTTCATTTAAAGCTAAGGTTCTTTATTAGATTTATACACAGTAATAAAATTACATAATGGAATGGGGCTTTATCTCACTTTGGAATTAAGTTTCAACTGTAATGGACGTGATCTAATTATAAAGAAATAAGAGTTTCGAAAAAAACTTTTAAATATCAATAAAATACACATTCAGCAAGTTTTAATCATCTTTAACCTTACTAGAAAATGAGGGACCATAAGATTATCCCCATTTCTTGTATCTTCACCTTACATCACCCCCACAAAATGGTCAACCAACCTAGACAACCAGTGTAATTATAGCTATGGTGGGAATTCACCAAAATCAATATGTCTGGTTGTCTTAATCTCAGGCCAGTTCACAATACAATACAATTATCCTATTGTAACATCTTCTAGAATAGAATGCGGAAGTCTGCAGCAGCAATGAGCATAAAATTGTGGACTTTGAATGATCATTGCAAATGTCTGTAAATGGGGCTTAAGTACATAAATGCGTCCCATGAAAATAAAATGTCCATTAGATGGTTAAATTAATGAATGTAAATAACATTTTTTGCTTTGACTTTATTATGAGAGGCTTCAAATGGATGTCCAAGAAAAAAGTCCATTCTTGATTTTATATTTACACTACCGTATAATCCCTTTTAACTGCCCCAGCTCCTATAAGTGTACCCTTAAGTCTTTTTCAATTGTCAGGAAATGCGGGCCCCCTGTCCAGTGATTAATTAAAACCATCTAGAATCATATCAAAAGTCTGCCAAAATTTGAAGAAAGTGAAAATGAAACCTATCTATAATCCAATTTCTTGGTGAAAATGAATCATTTAGCTTAATTTGCCAATGGGTGGATATCTTCACTTAAAGTAAAATTAAACATTATTTTAGTGGTTCTTTGAATTTTTTTTTTTTCAAAGATTATTTGAAGTTAAAATATAACATTAAATATCATAAAGAGAATACTAGAATAACTGCCCCCCCCCCTTTGCAATTTTCTAAGTGCCCAGGGCAGTTTATAGGGATTATACAGTAACACACAGTTACAGCAAGCACATGATGAATTCATGCATACACATTGGAGTGAGCATGTTTGACTGTCATGCTAGGATACTTTATCTTGAAAAGGAAATCCAAAATATTATACATCCTACTGCATGAATTTACTTTATCTACTCAAATAGGGAAGGGTGGAGGCTTATTTTTATAGGTGGGGGTTTTTAAGACATGCAGACATAAAGAATTTTGGGACCACCCAGAAACACAGTCCTATAGATGGATGTAAATATTCACAAGTAATTTTATACTAGGAAAATAAGATAGGACCTACATGTAATATAATTTTGATCTATGAAATATTCCCTTAACATGCAAATTATCTTTCTCGGTTTTTGCTATCAGTCTGCATTGATAAATATTACCATTCAAAAGTACAATTTTTCTTTATCTAACACAAACAAGGAAAAATTTGATAATTCATATGCATTCATGTTTTCTCTCTAAAAGTTGGCTGAACTTCCATTGAAAAATTGCACAGTGAAAGAATCTTCTT